CCAGTTATCAGATGCAGGATTACCACCACCACCACACCCCCCCCCCCCCCCCCCCCCCCCGCGTCATTTGCTGCCCTCCCCCTTTGCCAGATGCTTATTCTTGATCATTATTAGAAAAGGAGAAAATTTGGTTAATGTCCTTGCTTTTAAAAAGTGCTAGTAAATAACTTGATTGAGGACAAGACTTGAAATTATCTATAGGGTCCAGTTAACAGTGATCAAAGGTGTCTGGTGTTAATGACTGGAGTCGATCCTAAGTTGATTCCTAAGGATTTGTTCTGATGTGTCCTATCCCTACAGGTGGTGCTTGGCATTTTTCATTTAATGTGAAGTTTTACCCACCAGACCCTGCCCAGCTATCAGAAGACATCACCAGGTATTTTAAAGTTGGCTATGGGAACAGTAGGCGCATTGGGAGGGCCACACATCTCTTGAGTGCCCCAGGGAAGAGCATGCCTACATCTGGTCGCCTTACAGTCATCGTCTCTCCAATGGCAAGCAAGAGGCAGCTAAATGAGTGCAAACATAAGATGCCAGGAGTTGCCAGATGCTACCTCGACACAGTTGAATCCTCAGTGATAGGCTGACCCTCCTGGGAAAACATTCAGAGCTGAGACACAGTCACCCATCCACCACAGCCAAACTGGATGGGATTCAGCCATAAATGATAGAGCAACACTGAGTGATCCTGCTTTAAAACTTAATAACAAATATCTTTATATGCTTATGCTCTGTATGTAGCCAACCTGATACTTCATAGCTGTTTAATAATGAGAGAGAGAGAGAGAGAGAGAGAGAGAGAGAGAGAGAGAGAGAGGAGAGAGAGGGAAGCATGGATAAATTTAAGAGTTTACTTTCTTTCATGTGTACATAAAAAAGGGAAATGATGGATTTGTTTTCTGGAAAGAGGATACTACGCAAAAGATCTAACATACAAATATTCCAGTTTGGTGGTTGAGCTTAGAGCACAAAAAGGGATTCCCTTGACAAAACTACACAATGTAATTTAGTCTGTTCTTGCTCCTGTCCCCAAATACCTAAGACTGTGGTTTACAAATAGAAATTCACTTGAGGCATTGTGGAGACTGGGTGTTCAAGACAAGGACGCTGGTGTGGGCATTCCGATGAGGGTCTCTTTCAGAGTTGCAGATTACCAGCTTATTACAGAGAGTTGCCCTGTAGCCTGTTTAAAACCACTAATTGCATTTATGAAGGCTCTACACTCATGATCTGATCCTCTCTCTCAAAGACCCCGCCTCCCAACCCATCACACTGGGCGGGGCTAGCATTTCCACTTTTGGATTCAGGGCTAGAAGCTGGGACACAAACAACCAGGACCACCATTCTCCATTCGCATACCTGTGTAGATGTTCCCGCCTTGTGCTTTGGAAGCCCCATCCCTCACTGTGTTTGGTAGTGAGGTTATGTCCAAAGTGACTTAGTCCTGTGTGTGAGTTTTCTATGTAAGCCTTGTACCTTTTTTTTTTTTTTGAAGGATTTTTTTCAAAGAAAATAAGTTACTTAAAACAGTGTCCTCCACTTTACTGCATTGAAAAATACTTTTACCAAAATCTTTGAGAAGAGTTAATGATTAGTTCCAGAGAATTTTTTTTTAATATTTGCAATAAGTCAGGGAAAAATTATACTTTGTCTATATAAAAGACACTTATGCTCAGGACTAAGTAATTAGTTACAACTAATTTTGTGGTTATAGACCCTAAATGTGCTTGGACTCATAAATCCATGCACAGTTCCTGTCTACTGTGTAGTGTCTGTAGAACCGGTGGGGTATGTAAGAACTCTAATGTGTGAATTACATAGACTTCTCATCTGTCTGTGGCCAGGCTTATTTCCCGGAGGCCTGCAGACTCCTCTCTCACAGGGAGAGTAGTTGACTACATCCATCAAAACCTGTGGGTGTCAGCACTTACCCTCAGGGGTTTATCTGTTAATCCTTATTTAATTCTTTTTTATTTTATTTTATTTTTAATCTATGAATCTCAAACAGAAGATAGAGCAATTGCTAATGTAACTATTTTATGATGTCATGGCAGAATTATGTGAAAAATATTTTTATATATCTCCCATTTAAAACTATTCACCTATAATGACAGGAGTCCCATATTTTAAAGTAGGAGATTTTTATAGAATTTGTATCAGCTAAATTCCAGGAAGATATCACACACACACACACACACACACACACACACACACACACACACACACGAGTTAAAAGAGTAGAAATTATTTGTCCTTAGAAACGCAGCCACGGAGCCTAGAGAAAGGACAGCTTTTGGGTTATCTGAGGTCAGCTTGGTCATATGGCAAGACCTAACATCTAGATCTTAGATTGAGCCCTCCCTGAAGACTGTGTGGGGTCTGGCAGTTTTACATAAGAACATCCTTGTATGTGACAGGTCACCCCAGCTGATTGTGAGGGTATGAAATACTAGGAAAACACCTCTTTCAATGTCTCGCTCTGCGCTTGATTGATAGGGCCTTGTTTTACTGTGAACAGTTCCTTCTTCTAGGTTCCCTAAATACTATTTGTCGCCCTGTAATTTCTTCTTCTATAGACTGATTATAGTTGAGGTCCTTATAACAGTATGCAAATGTGTCCTTAGAGAGGTTACTGGCCTGGGAGAAATTGTTTATGAATACTAAATGCTCTCTCTCTCTTTTTTTTAATTCCTCAGAATCTCATGCATGAATGTAATGTTTTTAGACCATGTTCACGCTGTCCTGCCCCCTTCCATCTCCTGTTACTGCATGCTAATGCCAGCTTTCTCTTTGTCCTTTCGGCCCCTGGAAGGTACTACCTCTGCTTACAGCTGCGAGATGACATCGTCTCCGGAAGGCTGCCCTGTTCCTTCGTAACTCTTGCCCTGCTGGGCTCCTACACGGTGCAGTCAGAACTCGGGGACTACGATCCGGACGAGTGTGGGAATGACTACATCAGTGAGTTCCGCTTTGCACCAAACCACACAAAAGAACTGGAGGATAAAGTGGTCGAGCTGCACAAGAGCCACAGGTTGGTGTGGAAAGCCGGTGTGCATGCATTCCGTCAGGGTCTCCAGCCCAGCTCTGGTGCCAGGGGGGCTGAGGGTGGGGCAGAGGCCGTACATGGTTAAAATGGTGGTTTAGGTAAATTTCCTCTCAGAGCATTCAGACACCCTTTTGTGGGTGTCCCTACAAAGCTGTCTGCCTCATGATTGTTTTCCTGTGGAGATACTAAGACACTCTTACCCGCCGTGCTTGGGAGCAGACGTGTTTCAGGTGTCAGAGGTTTTCAGACTATTGGATAGTTATATAATGTAGCAACATCTGTTTGGGATGAAGCTGAGAATCTAAATAGGAAATTTCATTTATGTTTCATAAACCCCCTGATGTGCATGACTTCCAGGTGACGTTATACAATATTTTTAGAATGCCTTGAGCATTGTATCGATGCTTTAAAAGATGCGGTTTTTGGGGCATTTCAGCTCTGGAATTTTTGAATTAGGGATGCTCAAACCTGTATCTGCTCGTTTCCCAGTGAAGACTTTCTTACACAATGGGAAGGAATGAAACCCTACGAGATAAGGGGAAAGAAAGCAGCTGACCGGCATGCAGGAGCAGACCTGGCTAGCTGCTTTCCATTTTCAATTCTAATTGATTGGAAAAGTTTAACACTTGCTTTTCTCTAATCAGAGGAATGACGCCAGCGGAAGCAGAGATGCATTTCTTGGAAAATGCCAAAAAACTCTCCATGTACGGGGTAGATTTACATCATGCCAAGGTATGCGTTTTCACACCCTCGTCTACTTGATGTACATCATGCCAAGGTGTGCATCTTCAAACCCTTGACTACTTTGCTTTGTTATTGCCACAAGCTGGAATTTGTACTTCATTTCATGTAAATGAGTACTTCTATGCTTCAAACCAGTGTGCCTTTGAAACCCTGTTCCATATTAAAAACAAATAGTACTCGTCTTTGCAGGGAGGTAGGTACCCTTCATGGCTCAGACTTGCATTCCTGCTTTCTGTTGCCTGTTGATTCCACAGTAAACTCAACCCTGACCTAGGAGCCCTAGCTCACCCTGCCTTCCTTGACACAAATGTATCTCCCACTCGGTACTGACACAAGCCCCTTGTGCCCCTAGTACCCTGCTTCTGCCCTTTCCCTGAACATAACCTCCTCTCTTCCTCTGGACAGTCCTGCTCTTGTCTTTTTCTGTTTGTCTATCTGAACTTGGCCAATTGTCCGACACCAAGTGTTACATCTGCTATATGTCACGTACTGTTTTAGCTCACTTTAAAGCCCCACTGAGCATCAGTGAGTTTGTGTTAAATGTAAAGAATCCTTTATCTAAGGTTTAATCTCTGACATATATAACCAGTGCTTTGAAATAAGATTTCATTAAAAATACAGCAGCTAAGAGCAACCATTCAGGGCAAGGATTGCCTTACTGACTCGTAATGGACGCAGTGTTTGAGATGCATCTTAGGAAGGAAGAAGTTGAGATTAAACAGGAGGGTTTTGATGGTGATAGGAGATAGAGTAGTTTTGACTCCATGTCATGCTATTTCTAGAATTTCCTTCTCAGCATTGAGACGATGAGTCCATGACTACATGTCTACTATTTAGACAGCTGTGAGCAAACATACTGTTAAAATACAGGGAAGCACTTGAAACATTTATCAACAAAATATGGGAAATCTGTTGGGACTCTAGCGATGGAATCTTGTATTTGAGCCTTGTTCAAAAGGTCAGTCCTTAAAGATCATGAGTCATTTCTTGTGGCTGATGCTGACAAGATAATATCAGTCCCGTATAGGAACAAGGATTCGACCTCTGATAGATATCCCCAATTTCATAGTCTGGAATTCCAAAGAATGTGTGATTGCAGGCTTCCAAGGAAGAAAGTCTCTTTCAAAGCCCATTCTGAGGCCTAGAGATAATGGGATTCCAGCTGGCCAAGTTCAAGGAAACATCTCAACACCCTGATAAACAAAAAGAAGGAAGTCTGGGCTCTCTGTTTAAGGCCTGTTGATAAGTGGGGGAGCATTTGAGTTGACTTTGGGGGAGCAAGGCAAATCTATAGTGAGATTGAACAGGAAACTGGCAGACATCTGGATTGGATGGGTGATGTCTATGTGGTTTGATTGGTGGTGTCTTTGGATCACCCTGAGCATTACAGAGGACAAGCCCTTCTAAGTCACATGTACTAGTAAGATGTCTATGAGTATGGGCGGGACTCCCGCCAGGGGTATGCCAATATATTAAAAGCCAACCTCCTTGACATTTGTGTGTGGTCACAGCAGTAGGTTCCTGTTTCACTCATCTTTTTCAATGTTATGCCAGATAAACCTTTGTGTAATGGTTTCAAAATAAAACTAAGGACTTACAGTGAGATTGTATTGTAAATCCTCTTCAGGTTTTCTCTATTTGGCTAAAAGGTGAAGAAATGAACATGAAAAGATAATCTGAGTGAATGTGGCCTGACTTTTGTGTAATGTCACCCACTGTGATTCATTTGCTACCCAGAAATAAAGATTAGTGCATCCTTTGGGGAAGTGCGACTCAGGATGTATCGTTGCTACCCGGAAAAACCAAGCTGCTTAACTCTCGCACGGTGACTACTGAACTTAAATAGATGGCTGCTTTTTATTTAATAATATGATTTGAAATTACGCCAATTAAAAATAATGAATTACGGAAGTAGAATGCAGCCTGTTATAGGATTTTATCTGGATATTAAGTATAACAAATGACTCGGTTATAGACTTCATCTTCCCATGAAGACGTGCTCCATCATTTCAAGAAGGAAATTGACTGAATTAAATTAGTGCTAATTTCTGGTCATCAATGACATGCTTCTCTTGTGTGGATGGCCTGAGTGTCTTTGAGCTTAAAATCCCCTTAAATATCCTAGATTGCAATCTTGGACTCCAGAGCTCATCATAAAGAATAAATACCCGTATTTGATGGTGATCTTATGTTTGGGAAACCTATCCTGAATAATTTGTTTTCCCTTAGGAAATCTGTATGTAGTTGTTTGTCAATGTCCATCTTACTAGGTTTTGTCAAAGTTCTTTATTGGATGTAAGATTATAAGGTGTGTGTGTGTGTGTGTGTGTGTGTGTGTGTGTGTGTGTGTGTGTATTCCTATCAGATGTCCTATGTACAAAACATTGAAGGACAGTATAGTTTAATAGTGACCCTGAATGGAGAGAAGGGCTATGTGTGGTGATATATGTCACCTGAGCAGTCAGTCCAGCATCAAAGGCAGGAAGATTGAGAGTTTGAGGCCACCAGAGCTCCATAACAAGATCTCAGGAGCCTGTAGTTTGATGGTAGAGCGAAGCCCCAGGTTAAATCCTCGATGCTGCAAGAAAGCATAAATACATGAATTAAAAGGAATTAAAGCAATAACAGAACTCTTGGCCCTCATCAGGACAGGCGAACGCACCCCAGGTCTGTCTACCATGCCAGAAGAGGAGGCATGTGAAGGCCGTCATAGAGAAATACCCTAAGGAGGACAATGGAAGCTTTAATATCAAGGGTCCTTGAGATTATCTCGATCTGTGGCTGTGGCAGAAATTTTGATACAGGAATATCTTTTGTTGTTGTAGTTAGTGAGCTACATACTTTTTCATTTTTCACTGACCTTTGCTTTCAACACACATACTGACTTTGATTACTTGCTGGACAGACCCTGTGCTGGGCCATTTACAGAGGCGAAACTCGGTGCAGTTCTAGCCAGCTAGGTCTCCAGGGAAAGGGAGCTGAAGGGAGACTTAGTCTCAACACCGCCTGGCTAACAGATGTGGAGGTGATGAGGGTGGGTTAGGGAGCCACATGTAGTCAATGCGCAGGAAGAGGAGGGATGGGCCTTCCCTTCTCTGTGAAGGGCACTTTTTTCTTTATATTCAATGACATAATAGGTATTGAGAATATAGATAATTGTTGCTAAAGTTATCCTGTTTCTGCCCAGCTGCTGCAGCCCTCAGGCCCAAGTAAACACACAGAGACTTATATTATTTACAAACTGTATGGCCTAATGGCTCAGGCTTCTTGCTAGCTGTTCTTATATCTTAAATTAACCCATTTCTATCAATCTATAAGTTGCCACGTGGCTCGTGGCTTACCGGTGTCTTAACATGTTGCTTCTCATCACGGCAGCTGGCAGCATCTCCCTGCCTCCACCTTTCACCTCCCAGAATTCTCCTCCCTCTTTGTCCTGCCTCTTCTTCCTACCTGGCTACTGGCCAATCAGCACTTTATTTATCAACCAATCAGAGCAACACATTTAGAGCATACAGAACATCCCACAGCAGGTAATAGTGAAAATGGTTTTAATATCCTTTTCTTCTTTGGACAAAGCTGTAAAATTGTTTATATCCAAAGAAAGTGACTCAACGAGCAGCTGTTGAAGCAGCCTCCTGCTGGCCTATCTATGTATGCTCCAAGGCAGTCCCCGCCGAGTGGCCATAGGAACACACTGGCTGGTTCTCAAAGATCAATACCAGTGACTTTGGGGGCATCAGATTATAAGTTCTTAAGTTGTCCCTTCAAACTAAAGTCCCCACCAGTAGGGGTTTTTCCCTCATTTTATTATAATATAAAATCCCGACTTCAAATCATTTCACCTCATGCAATAACTTCGTATCGAATAGAGTATGTTTGGAAGTAAAAATATTTTACTTTAAACTATTGTTTGTCTTTTTCAAAATTTAATGTTTTCAAGTCAAAGGTTTTTTACTCTGGAAACATCCAGCTCATTTGCTCGTGGTGAGGTCATAGAGAGCTCCCTCCACACAAGAGAATGAGGTTCCCCTGTGTGGTTATTTTATTGTCCCCTCTCCACTTCTCTGGTGCTACACAGTGACTCCAAGCTGGCAGGCCCAAGCCACCTACCAGACAGAGTCCTACTCGTCACTTCCTGGGCGGGACCTGCTTGTGATGTTCCTGTGCACCTCACATACATTCTGATGCCGTCCAGTCTCTTTTCCTTCAAAGCCACCACAGATGTCCATCGTACAGATTTCGGTGAATAAAACATTCAAAGGGGACAGACGGACATCACAATGACACCTCTTAAACCTGGGTGCTGGGTGACTCCATGCCTCAGAATTTCATGGTGAAGACTGTACATGTGTGTGCACACCCGTGTGTGTGTGTGTGTGTGTGTGTGTGTGTGTGTGTGTGTTAAACTCTGTGTGCAGTATTAGTGTTATAAGTCTCATATACTCGGGAGAACTGATTTAACTTCAGCAGCCCTCCATAGTGAAAAATACCATCATTAAAATGCTATTATGTAGTAGTGGTGTTTAAAAAAAAATCACAGCAGTATTTTTCATATTTAAATTAGTCAATTATAACTTCTGTCACGGAGTCCTAAATCTTGTACCTGCAGAAAATGGAAATAAGTGAAATACTGCTCCATTGTTTCTTCCAGGATTCAGAAGGAGTAGAAATTATGTTAGGAGTCTGTGCAAGTGGTCTGTTGATATACCGTGACCGGCTTCGAATAAACAGATTTGCTTGGCCCAAGGTCCTAAAAATTTCGTATAAACGGAACAACTTTTACATTAAAATCCGGCCAGGAGAGGTAAGTACACCCCTTATTTTCATAGGCTTTGAGAAGAAAGGTCCCTAGTGCAAGCAGAAATATAAATGATGTGTTTGTGAGTTCCAAGAATCATGGGATGTGGCAAATTATGTCTAAATGCCTCTGAGAATTTGTTGTAGGTTCCTCCAGTAATTAGTAACAAAATGTTACCTTCTTCTTAGGTTATTCAGATTTTTTTAACCAACTGCATACATTAACTGAAAGAACTTTTAAAATCATATTTTAATGTAACATCAAGATTTCTGCCTCCTTTTTTAATACTCCAAGTTGTGGTGAGGACCTGTTTTCCTGTGTCCTTTCACAACCCCACTCCTCATTTTGTTCTCCTATAAATCTGGCTGCTCCCTCAAGTCAGTACCTTCAAGATAACATGCTTTAAGGTACAAGAAACATTGGAGCAGAGTTCTGAATGTAGTTTTCCTTTAAATTAGAGAAACTAATGATAAGAATTGTTAATACTCTTTAAGCAACAGTCTACACAGTGGACTTACATCCTCCTTGTTGATTTGTACATAGTAAGCTATAAATGCCTGCCCCCTGACACTCACTTAGGAGAAAATTAATAAATACCTAAAATTTCTAATGGGTGTGGTTAGTATATTAAAGGCTGTCAGAACCCAAAGATCCCTGTTCATTTATGTTTCTAAAGTTCCTGGCATAATACAAGAGTTGTCTCTCTTAAGATTTTACCTCTCCACTGGAGTTTCTGGGCGGAAAATCATTTAGAAAAATTAAAATATAAGGCTGGAGAAATGGTTGTGTGGTCAAGCGCACTTGTTGCTTGTGTAGAGGACCCAGATTCGATTACCAGCACCCATATGGTGGCTCACAAACATCTGTAACTCCAGTTCCAGAGAATATGATACCATCTTCCAGAAGTCTCCCCAGGTGCCAGTCATGAAAATGGTGCACATACACACATGCAGACAAAACACTCATTCATAGGAAATAAATTTTTAAAAAGTTTAAAAAATAAAAATATAGGGCAATAATTGCATTTAATGTAAATATAAAACCATAATTATCTATAATGACATAATAAGTATTTCACATGATTATACCTGAAATTGTAGTATTTTAAAATATTGTTCTTAAAGATTACACAGTAAACACAACACGTACATTCATTTAAATGCAATGAAAACTTCAGTGAATGTGTTTCTTCTCAGACAGTAGGTTGAGCATTAGAAGTAGATAAATATTACCTGCTCTTTCTCTTCAGGCAATTTCCATTTGTTTTCCATTAAGCAGAGAAACAGTGAGCACCTGAAGCTGTAATACCGTGTTACACACAAGATGGTGTCCTATAGATGTGGTGTGAACAGCGTGTTACACACGAGATGGTGTCCTGTAGATGTGGTGTGAGCAGTGTGTTACCCACGAGATGGTGTCCTGTAGATGTGGTGTGAGCAGTGTGTTACACACGAGATGGTCTCCTGTAGATGTGGTGTGAGCAGTGTGTTACACACGAGATGGTCTCCTGTAGATGTGGTGTGAGCAGTGCTGGGAGATGTCAGAAGGGAGAGCTGGTGACGTGAACTAACAGACCGCTGTGGTCCGTGAAAGGTTTAAATAAAGACATAACACACAGGATAAATACTTTGCATTCATAAATTTCATAATGAAATCCAGCTACACAGTGTGGCAGTGTGATAGGACCCAAGTGGCTCAGGGGCTGTGAGAAGAGAATGGAGGGAACACGTTTGTGGGAAGGTTCTGGGCAGAACTGGTAAGTTTTGGAGCAGAGTAGGGATGGAGAAAAGGGAGACGTTTCCTCTTACTTCCCAAAGAGAAGTTTCTGTTCCCATGAGTGAAACTGATTTTGAATGTGAGGGGAAGGTTAGGGGAAATTTTCAGAAAATAATCAAGATTGAAATTGTTTTTAACACAGATCCACTCCCTGCTCTTCAGTTTCTCTTGGTTAAAATTATTAAGAGTTTGACATTTTTTAGCATTAAACTTTAAGAATCATAAAGGGGAAATAAAGTCAGAGACATCATGAAATAAAGGTCTTTTAAAAAGTATCAAAATGACTCAATCACTTGGTAGGCTTGTTGGGGTAAAAGTCAGACTTTAAGGATTAGTTTTTGCACAGTAGACAATAAATAGTCACCAGCTGTATACAACCTATTAAAGGCCTTAGGCATGGCATAGATTTCCCAAAGACCAGAAAGGGTTCAAAAGGAGGCCCTAATAACATCAGTTCAAGAGAGGGGCAGGCAAAAGAGCAATGTAAGGGGAAGCAGACAGACAGCCACGGACATTAGGGACTAAGTGCCACGTGACACGAGTCTCTCCAGAAAGTGATCCACTAACTGTGTTGTGGGCTACACAGAGGGCATGCAGAATATGGACCAAGGAAAAGTGTGTTGTGAACATGTAAGAGACGGGAAGCATGGGGAGCACTGTGGAGGGGGGCAGCCCCTACTTTTTCCCCCAGGGTACCCTTGAGTGGGGAGAAGTGAGAAATATGTAGATAGAACTATAGAGGAGAGAGACCATTAGAAACACAGGGTAGCCTCAGGAGGGCCTGGGTCAAAACCCACCAGCCCCTTCTGTCTCTTCTAAAGGGCCATTTATAGAAATGCCAAGGGGTGGCACAAAAGACCTCCCCTTAGCACAGCCAAGTGCAGACCCTTCCAAACACCTGGTAACCAACATGGTCAAGCCCTCCCCTGCTGCAGCCCTGCTGTATAAAGCAAGCTCAGATCTCACTAGGAAGCTTTTGTGGGCTCCCACAGAGCACCTGCCATGGTGCATTAAGGTGAGTGCTAGTGAGCTATCAGAGGTGGCAGAGGACAGTTCCTTGTTGTAAAGTTCAGAAGAGGGGCGCGTAAGGGTTTGGTCCTGGCAGAAACAGGTGCAAAGGAACTTGTATCCCTCATACTCATATTTGAGTTAAAAGTTGTCGGTGGCAGGTAAGCTCTGCAGGTACTAACCAGAGCAGGGAGAACATTGGTAGACTGGGGGGCCTCTCATCCTGTGCTAAGGGCAGCAGAAAGCTGATCTGTCCCCACTAATGAGCAGCTAGAAGTGGAGAGAGGAGTGAGGCTTTTCAGAGGCTGGAAGGGGGAACTGGATTGGAAAGAAGATGGCTACCGGGTAAGGCTGCCCTTGGTAGGAGGAGGAGTGTCCAGTGCTCTGCAGCTCGGTTGGTGAATAGAGTTGACAATGAATCTTTAAAACACTTAGTAGGGATGATTTGGAATATTCCCAGCATTAAGTCATGCACACCTTTGAGGTGGCACATAGGCCCAACGTCCCTGATCTGGTCATCACCTTGTGTGTTCTTTGAAATTCCATGATACACTCCAGAAATAGGTGCAATTATTATATGACCGTAAAAAATTGGAAATTTTTAAGCAAGAGGAGAGAAATTCCTCCCTGCATCTTGTACAGAGAATGAGCTGACTCGACAGCCCCTGGCCTGGGCACAGGTGTCCTGCTCTGAGATGTTAGATTCAGGACTAAAAGTATTTAGTCAACAGCCACAGTACTTACTGGGACCTTCGGACCACAGCAGTTTTTCCAACTACTGCTGCAGGAATGGCCGAAGCAAGTATGAAACCCAGGAAGGCAACTTCTGACTTTTTTCCCAGTTCCCCCAATTGCTTCGGCAAACAGGAAAAAGAGGTCGGTGGGAATCATATCTCACGTGCATGCTTATGGGATTCCCTCACCTTGGCGCTTTGCCACATGAATTACGTTGGCTGTTGATATCAACAGTCCAGTTCTATGCTCTTTGGATTAAGCCTTTATGTGTAAGGGGGCCCTCTGCTGGCCTGAGGTACGATGCCTGCATACACCGGAAGCTGGCTGTGGAGCTGTAATGATGGGTAAAGCATGATACAGCAGGACAGATATTTAAAGGACCGACAGAGGATCATCTGAAGATTCTCAACAAGTTGGGAAATATGAACATGTGCTCTGCCAGTCTGTGGTGTATGATATAGAGAGATGTTAGCAGTCAGTACTATAAAACAGACGGGGAACCGCAGCAATATCAAATCATCGACTCTGGAGAAAGGATACATATTTCCAAGTAGGTACTAGGAGGAAATGTTATTCCTATGTCTGCAGTAGATTATTTTTACATCTGTGTTAATTTCTGAGCATTTTAATTCAAGCCGTCCCACCACTGACAAAACCTGCAAACAAAACTTAGTGAGATCAAGATGAATCGATCTCTGGAGGGAATCCGTGTGTCTTCCTGATTTGAGTCTAGATTTTGTAAAATGGATGTTTGCACAGAATGTTGACAGTCAACCACACTTCAGGCGTTTTAAGGTGATAGATGAAAAGATTGTTTAAAAGTGGGTGGATTCCTGGTGTGAATTCTGCACATAGCAGCCGACTCAGTAAGTAACAAAAAGAATTAGGATGGGCTGTAAGTCTGTAAATTATCGGCAGAGATTTTATTTATAAAATACCGAACCGAACTTTAATCATTCCTGTGTTTTTTAAACTCTTAGTTCGAACAGTTCGAAAGCACCATTGGGTTCAAATTGCCGAACCACCGAGCTGCCAAGCGCCTCTGGAAAGTGTGTGTGGAGCACCACACATTTTTCAGGTAGGGAGTGAATATTTGGGTTTCTTCCTAACAAAATTTTGAACAGTTGGGGCCACTTGTACTAGGGAGGAAAAAGTTGTAGAGGAAAACATCGTGGACCCTTTCTGTTCCTGTAATCACAATGATCACTCTTTCTCCTCTTTGTCCCTCTGTCTTTCCTCTGTGGGGGTGGGGTCTACAACACAGGTGCATGCATGTCACCGTACACATAGAGGTCAAAGGACATCCTTGGGTGTCCGTCCTCGCCTCCCACTGTGTTTAAGACAGGGTCTGTGGTTCACTGCTGCCTACACCAGGCTGGACCCCCTGTCTGCACGCCCATGTCCCTATAGACATGCTTGTGTTACAGGATCTACCCTGCCCAGGTTTAAGTGGGTGCTGGGGACCCGAACTCAGGTTCTCATGCTTGTGTGGCATCCCCCTTCGTTTCTGTTTTAAGACACAGCCTCACTATACAGTGCAAGCTGTCCTGAGGCTCCCAATCCACCTCCCTCACTCTCCTGAGAGCTGGGATCCTAGGCCTATGCTCCCATATCCAGCTCACGCCACGCTCCTTGATAGAAACCCTCAAAGGACATCTGACTAAATCTCAAGAATTTTCTTTAATGTATCTTGTATTATCCACTCTTGACCTGTTTTTATTATCATGTGTTTTCATCATTTTATTTCATAGTTTTCAAGTATCCTATCTGTTCCTTGTGTCTGTGTGTTCGTGTGTGTGTGTGTGTGTGTGTGTGTGTGTGTGTGTGTGTTTTGGAAACAAGATCTCTTATAGTCCCAGTTGACCTTTAACTCACTATGTAGCTAAGGATGACCTTGAACTTCTGATCACAAATGCTAAGATTGCTGGCATGTACCTACATACCCAACTTAATATTTCTTGTATCTTTTTTTTTTTTTTTTTTTTTGTAGTGCTAATGATAGAACCCAAGGCCTTGGCATGCTAGGCAAGCATTCTACCATCAAGCTATATGCCCTGAGTATTCCTCTCTCTCTCTTCTGCCCAACCCTCCATTTTTCTTCAACTTCTGTATAACATCCCTACTTAATACACATTGTGTTTCCTAAAATTGAAAAATGAAACTCAGATTCATTTACTCACACGTGTATTGAACTTTTAGCACAGAAAGCAAAGCAATCGGCTTTAAACACCACCTGGGTGTGACTTAGCTTTTTTTGGTGTTTTCTTAATGCCTTTAGACTATTGCTACCAGAAGCACCTCCAAAGAAATTCCTGACCTTGGGCTCCAAGTTCCGTTACAGCGGCAGAACTCAGGCACAAACGAGAAGAGCCAGTGCGTTGATAGACCGCCCGGCGCCTTACTTCGAACGCTCATCCAGCAAACGTTACACCATGTCTCGCAGCTTGGACGGAGGTAGGCATTGCTAACTGGCTCTCCATAACTCGACGGCAGGGCATGTGAAATGACCGTGAGCTTTGGGTAAACTCTGAGAAGTGACGTCATGTGGATCTGAGCAGCTGAATGGCAGGTTTTGAACATTCTCATCTCCAAAAACTATCTGTGTCAGTCTGTTTTACTGTGAGTTCATGTTGGGGTATGTCAGTACTTGGGGGATAAGGATCTTGTCTTTAGCAGTCTGGACTTTGGGGAAGATGTCTTCATTCTAAATACAGAACTTACACACCCTAGGGTTTAGTTTTCTTCCAGGCAGGTTTTTAAGGATTAACAGGAAGAAAACTATAAGTTAAAAATACATCTCTTTTTAAAAATTAGAGAGAATTAGCCGGGCGGTGGTGGCGCACGCCTTTAATCCCAGCACTCGGGAGGCAGAGCCAGGCGGATCTCTGTGAGTTCAAGGCCAGCCTGGGCTACCAAGTGAGTCCCAGGAAAGGTGCAAAGCTACACAGAGAAACCCTGTCTCAAAAAACAAAAAAAAAAAAAAAAAAAAAATTAGAGAGAATGAAAATTATTAGTCAGCTTGTGATAAGTGGGAGAAAGCATGGCTGTAGTGACTGCCCCTGTCTACTATCTGGCCAAACAGGTGTAGCCCCAGATGACCCATCAGCTCACCTAAGGGTGAGCTTAACCTTGAGTTTTCAGGAGGGGTGGTGTTGTCTACAGTTTGTGACATTATCCTTCACAGCAGAGAGCTATGCTTTTTGCTCCAGATCATGCCAGCAATAATGGCACTTAGGACCTGGTTGTGGGCATCTAATTCAGCACCTGGCCCTGGATTGGCTGATGCATGGAAGACTCATCCTGAATGAATAAAGAATGAGACAATTCTGAAAGGTGTGCACAATTTTAATAGGTAAACCTAAATGAAAAGGGAAAAATTAGATTGCCTGGAGCCCTCTTTACCCACCTGTTTTTTTCAACCACTCCTTATTGGGTCTCAGCTCCCCTCAATCCATTCCCCACATCCCCTGATTAAGAAGCAGCCATGCTTGTACTGTGGGTGCTGTGCTGTATATATTGCTACAGGTATAGAAACAATACTCCTCAAGACACATGGGAAAATGCACACTAATGCCCAGGCTGTGTGGCCCTCGGTTTTAGTCATGTGAAAATGGACATAAGACCTCCTTCAACAGGGTTGTTATGGAGAGTAAAGATGATGTATGGGAAGCATTCTTGGTGTTGATAAAATTGCCACTATAACTATGCTGATAATCATTCTTAGAGGCTTTGTAGGCTGGCCAGAACATTAATTACAATCAGCCTTCATATTCGAAGGTTCTGACTCTATGGTCAACCAAACGTAAATTGACCATGTGGGTTGAAAATATGAGAGACTCCAGGGTGGGTGGGGATTTAACTTGCTAAGTAGGCCCAGGACCCTAGGTTCAGTTCTGTCCCCAGCTGATAGATGATGATAGACAGACAGACAGCTGATAGATAACAGCAACACCCCCAGTATTTCTTCCCCTTAAAAAACAATCACATCTATACTGATTGCACAAAAACTGTTTTCTTTTATCATTCTCTAATACAATGTGATAGCTACTTACATATTATTCACATAGTGGTGGGTATTAAAAACAGTAGAGATAGTTTAAACACTAGATCCAAGTGTGCACAGATTGTATGTAAAAAGAGTGTCATTCTCTGTAAGGGACTTGAGCATCTACAGATTAAGTATTCAGAGATGTGCTGGAACCATCCATAATAGATGTCGAGAGAGAATGCTGCTGTTCTGAATCTTCCGATATTTCTAGACCCAAGACCATTTGCAGTTGGATTAAGACATGAAGATCTCTGTGTTACAGCCAGAGCTTTTCTTTCTGCTCTTTAGAGACTGTGCTAACAATTTGTGTGTTCTCTAAGTCAATATTTGAGGAACTTCTGTAGAATCCTGCCTTTCTTTCTGCTAAATACCACCTACTTTGTTCAGTGACATGCACCCGAGAGAATACAGTTGTTGTCAGGTTGCTTTCCTCGTGGTCTTTGTGTGAAAATGACTGTTGAACAAACAGAAGACAATTGTGAGATCAATGTACTAATACCACGCTGTCTCTTCCTTTCTGGCCGAAAGTGATGTTAGTATGTGTTGTCTCGCTCTTTGTTGCCCTGCCAATTCTAGTGTGTTTTCTGCTGCGGAGCCGGGTGCCATGTCTGCATGTTGGAACATTAAACTGCTTTTTCACAAGACAGCAGCCTGTAAATAACAGCATCACCGGCTGCTAAAAATAATAATAATAATAATAATAAACTGTGTCTCATGTGAGCTTTTCATCAGCATAAAGAGGCAGAGAATATCTTAGTGAAGGATTTCATTTAGAATCTTTTTTTTGTTTTATTTTCGTTGGTGTTTTAAAGGACCTAAAATATGAATTCAGGCCATATCTTTGTCTGTGATCAACTGTGGGGTATTTGAAAAGAAGTGTGTATAAATTTCAGTGTGTTTTTATAATATCTAAGCCCGAAAAAATTGGCTAGCAAAATTTAAAATTGATCTGAATTAAGCACTAAAACTGAATGAAGCATCTTTTACTAAGACAATAGCTGGGATGAGGAGGTGAACCTCACATCCCTGTGCTCACATGTTCCGCCTCTGCATGGGTTTAGCTGGGATGAGGGCCTGATGCTCACATCCCTGTGCTCACATGTTCCGCCTCTGCATGGGTTTAGCTGGGATGAGGGCCTGATGCTCACATCCCTGTGCTCACATGTTCGGCCTCTGCATGGGTTTTGCTTGCTAGAAACATTTGTCTTGTTTTCCCCAAACAGCAGAGATGAGAATGAATGTGTTTACATATCCTTGTGACAGTCTCTTTCAAATGCAATGGAAATTAAAACATTTCCTTATGTCAACTGAGAGGAATGCCCTTCTAAATTTTATAATCTCTTCCAAAATTATTACATTTTATTCCTGTGCTTTAGGCTTTTGTATTGTAAGGGGGGGGTGAACTTTTCAACAATGGAAAATAATAGAAATAATCCATTGCTCCTTTGATGAGTGACTCTCCCGTGGATATGCTCAAAGTCAAGTGGTTAGAGTATTTGCTGGAAATACTGCTGCAAATTGTTGAACTTAGGATGAATCTGGTTTGAGTGCCCAGCCAGTGCTCTTGGGGGTAAAACCACTCTCCTCTCCTCTAGCTCCTCCCTACCCTCACCAGAGAGTATGAGAATGCTAAGCCTTATTCTAGGGTTCAAGACATGGACATTTAAATCATTTTTAAAGCACTGGTCCAGGTGATGCAGAAAGGTAGTGCTTGGATGCAATTCCCTCAGCTCTCCTTTGCCTTGCGCAAACCAGCCCAATATTTGATACTGGTGTTTTTTCTCCTAGTAAAGGCACAGTGTGGCATTTGTCGTTCCGTCTTCTGACTTAACTCTTTGGGATTTTATTTTCCCCCGATTGCATTTGCTTTTAGCATCAGTGAATGAAAACCATGAAATATACATGAAGGATTCTATGTCCGCTGCAGAGGTTGGCACAGGCCAGTACGCCACAACAAAGGGCATCTCTCAGACCAACTTGATCACCACTGTGACTCCAGAGAAAAAGGCTGAAGAGGAGCATGGTGAGGAGGAGGACAGGAGGAGGAAGGCCGAGGAAGCCACCCCCGTCACAGCCCTCCGGCATGAGGGAAAGGTACAGCTCCCGGCTGCCTCCTAGAGCTGCCCCGGCCTTTTCTCATAGCTCCATGGTTCTGGGATGGTAGACAGGGGGGCTCAAGGTGGAGGAGCATTCAGGCTCCAGCACTGGTCAGAGTCATGTCGGGTTTTACGTTGTTATTATTATTTCAGCATATTCTCTTAAAGTTGTTTTCTTAACCTTTTGGGAAATTTTAACAAGGAGTGTGTTTTACAAGACTTTCAACAGCTGTTCTGGATGGATCTCTTTAAAAGTATTTTGGATGGTGCAGTACTTTTATTCTGTTTGGACTCACATTTTACTACTATTGCTAAAACTATTGTCCGTTTCTGGCCCTGTTCTCTTACCTATAATGGTAGGTAGTTTTTCTTAGACATGTGCACTGAGTGACCATAACCAGTGTTTACGTCTGACCTCTTAGTCTTCTAACTACAATCTGATCTGCCCAGAAGTGACCTGTCACAATGAAAGAGAAAAGCGAATTTGACACAATAGCAATTTTCATTCATTGCACGTTATGACGTCACTTCCCCCAAATTTTAGTTTTCAGTTTCAGATTGATTTCCAGTGGTCCAATATTATAGCAACTTCCCAGCAAAGCAGTTTAAAACTGAGCATATCTGGGAGGCTCGTGCATAGCAATGATGGGAACTGAGAGCCCCCTGTAATGGACAGGGCGCACAGAGAGGGGGCATGGGGAATGAGCCATCTTACAGCCTCTGGGTTACCCTGAACTGCAAGTGCGTTTCGTTCCCTGGTGCACTGTTGCATAGAAATGTTCTTGAAAAAAACAGGGTGTGGGACCGCACGGGGCTTCTTCCCATAAAAGTTCGACAGCCTCGTAAGCAGGTAGCTCATCAGAGAAGTGATGTCTGCTTCTACTTCTGAGAACAAGGCTTAGCGTGTGTAGACCCTTAGTTTAATACCCAGCACCTCAAAAACCTAAACAGAGTAAATAAACACTTTCTATATTAGATGAAATATTTCAGATTACCCAGTCTGTCATTCTGCTCTTCCTTTTAGGGATGGTTTCTTTGTTTTCCAAACACAAAAATCAGCACAGAGTCAGAAATGATGGCCAGGGCCTTCGGATCACTTCCTCTGTCCAAATGTGCTTGGTTCTAAATTTGGCTTTTACATTCTTCTCATCACTTAAACCCATGTCAGATCTCATAACTGGGACATGGTGGGGAGGAGAGGAGATAATCCACCTGGAATGCAAACATGGATGCTTCTTACCCCTGGTTGTTCCAGGTTTTCCTGAGATGACCAATGCCTACCAATGATGCTCATGGCTGTGAAGTGTGCTTAGACGGCAGACAAAAAGAAAGGGGGGGGGGGTTTGTTTGCTTCCAAAGTAGGTCCAGGTTTCCTTTTTTTATTTTGTTTTTTGAAAAGCCATCCTGTGACCTTTACATGTAGAAAGAAGCAGCACCCATCCATCTCGCTCTGTGCCATTGTTGTCCTGGGGATACCTTCATAACCCCAGTCCCCCGGAAGACGACCTTTCAGCAGAGTCTTCCAGAAGGCTATAGCTGAGATCTAGGACTGACGGGTACTGGCTGTCTTTATTTCTCCACCACAAAGCTGTCTTTCTGAAAGCACTTTAATACACGGCACAGAAGATAAAACCATAATCTTATTCTTTCCCATCTTCAAAAAGCTACATTAGAGGATGCTTGATTTTGAACCCAAATGAAAACGCACTGCTGGAAATAATGTTTAAAGACTGTTTCCCAGGCTGCCTGGGGAGGGTCATGTTGCTGTGACAATGTCTCACTGCCTAGGGAGAGTGGGCCGCTTGTCATGTGTGCATTATCCTTGGCTGAATGAGATGTGTGCAGATCCCTGTTTAGAATACAATGTATAATGTCGAACGTGAGTATCAGAGGGACATTTCAAAGGCTGACCTATCCAGATAAACTTTTACCTGGACATTGTCTCTATCCATCCCTCATGCCTCAAATGTGATTTTATCTGTGCATTTTCTTCCCCTTGGTTGCTATTTTTATCACTTCTCTCTAAGATTGGATAACCACCACCAAGTAGGCTGAGTAATTTTCATGCTCTCAAGCTGCTAGGTAACACACAAGCGCGCACGCACAGACACACACACACAGACACACACACACACACACACACACACACACACACACACACACACACAGAGAGAGCAGGGGGAGCCGCTGAAGAAGGCTATCTCAAACTCCACATGCCCTGGCCTTGAACTTATCATGGTATATGAGCCCCAGTGCTTTGCCCCAGCCTGTTCAGGGATTTCTTGCTTCTGGCTTTGGCCATTGAGACTGCCAGCATCCCAGAAAATGGAGTCGATTCTCCAAATCTCACAAAAGCAAGAGCTCATAGGGAGGACTTCGGTGGGAATGCATGCTTTATCAACTGTATGAAAGGTTCAGACCTCAGTTGTAAACATACCCTTTATGTTTGGAGAAATCAGGAGGCTGAGAAATTGCATCTTTCCATTATTTGTGGACCATATGTAGCAGAAACCAAACACATAGAAACCATGTTCCAGGAAAACCTCTTTATTTTATTTTATTTATTTATTTGTATTGCTTGTTTGCTTCCTTAAACCACTGGTAAGAGCTGAAGTCCTGTTTAGCCACCTAGATAAAGAAGCCAAAAAATGCACATAGATGAATCAGAGGAACTTCTCTTCTCTGTGGGAACCAGAGATCCTGAAATGCTCACTGCCGCTCCCCTTAGACAGAGCGGGGCCAGAAACTTCCTGATTAGGATACCCACCAGTTTGGGATATAATTGGCTCACCAAGCAAAGGAAGGTGACTGGAAATTTTTTTGAACCCAATCAGAATTCGAATTGTATTTCATTTCCATGTTGAGTCCAGCTGGGCTGTGGAGCAGATGTGCTGTTACCTGGAGACCAAGAGGGTGGCGTTGAAAGTCTTGGTTTTCATTTATTAGAGTTGTTTGCTCTTGGACGCGTTTCTGTGGGATTCTTCACAGCGACGGCTGTTCTGACTTTTGACAACATCTCAGCCTGTGTATGGAGGTCTATGGGGACAGCCAGAGTCCTCCTCAGCGTCGCTGCCATGCGGCATGACTACTTTAAAACTCTTGTTTTGCGAATTTCATGTTGATGCCCATGAGAAAGTTGACTAATTGAGCTTTTTCTTTTTGTCCTTTTGCATCCATGTTTACCGCTTCCTGTCTTCCTCTGTCTCTTTCACATCCAGTCACCTGGGCATGGCACTGACTCATGCCCCTCGTCGTCGTCACCCCCATCAGCCCATCTTGACCCTCCATCTCCCCCAGAGCTCCGCAGGAGGTGTAAGGAGAATGAAAACCCCTTGACAGGTTCTGTGCTGCCTAAAGCTGAGCCAGCCTTGGAGTCTGATGGCCAGGGGATGGCTTACTTGGGGGACCAAGATGTGGCATTTAGTTATAGGCAGCAGACTCGAAAAGGAGCCACACTGTTCTCCTTCTCCTTACAGCTCCCTGAGTCATTCCCCTCCCTCCTCGACGATGACGGGTACCTCTCCTTCCCCAACCTGTCTGAAACCAACCTCCTGCCCCAGAGCTGGCAGCACTTCCTGCCCATCCGTTCACCCTCCCTCCTCCCCTGCTTCCTCTTCATCTTCTTCTTCCTGCTGTCTGCCTCCTTCTCAGTGCCATACGCCCTCACTCTCTCCTTCCCTCTGGCTCTGTGCCTCTGCTACCTGGAGCCCAAGGCGGCCTCCTTGAGCGCCTCCCTAGACAATGACCCGAGTGACAGTTCAGAGGAAGAGGTGTGTACCTCAGCATAGAACACACTTTCCCTGCGTGTTCCGTGCTTCAGTCCGATCCAGTGTTAGCTGGCTGCCGCGATAGTGGTCCTACTTTCAGAGCCTCATTTATTGTCTGTGCCACTCTGTTGAGGGTTTTTGTGTTGGGGAGTCCAAGCCAGGCCCCAGGGTTAGGCACAACACCATGTGGATGTAGCAGTCTATAGCCAACCGTCATCATTCTGCTACCCACTGAGTTCTGCACGGGCTAAGGACTCAGCCAGAACTCAATTTCAAGCAACTCATTAGCTATGGAAAGGCCGTTGTCTTACTTACAGATTCTGCTCAGTTATCACCTAGTAAGTTATATCTCATATAACACAAATAAGTAGCTTGCAACTTAAATAAAATACAGATACAGTTGGAGTGACCAAGTGAGCGTGCTAAAGGTTAAATAACATCGTGTCCAAGTAGCTTTCCCAAATTTCCCGTTTCTCATCCCCCTAGGATGCAAGATGCTTCCACGCCCCTGTTAGATGTAAGTTCTCATTGTTGACAGAAGGAATACCTGCAACAGTTTATAGTCCTCACGTGACACCACTCATGGGTACAGCCAGAAGTAGGACCAGAAAGAACCAAATACGTAGCGCTGTGGCATCCAAAAAATGTCAGGACAACATTTATTTGAGATTTTTTTTCCCCTCTCTTACGCTGGCCATACTTGTGTATGTATCATACAGCAGCCTAAGACCCCAGTGTCCACATTCTGCAGTGTGGTACAGCCGGGGAATTGGCTTAACCTCTCTTGCCCTTGGGCAGGTATTCTTGTAAAGTGAGAGAACCTGACCTTCTAGCCTGTCCATCTCCCTCACCCCAGCCACTAGGTGAGTGATGTAATTAGCAGCTTTCCCTCTGAATCGCTCTCCTCCCTGCGGGCCCCATGGCTGCGGGAACAGCACAGCAGCTCCCCTTTTTTAAGGACTTCAGTCAGAGCGCAAGGAAGAGAAGAAAGGCTGACCCCCAGGGGCGCCGGCTGTCATGTCTTCACTCTCCTGCACCTCTCCCTAGGAGCCCCAAGCTTGCCTCTTCCCACAAAGCAAGCACTTTACGTGACAGCAGATAAACCCAGGACTCCTCGCATTAGAAGAAAACACAGTCAAAGCAGCACTGTTCAAAAAAGAAAGAAAGAAAAAAGAAAAGAATGTCTGTTCGGTTCCACGCCTAGTTGGAAAGTCATAATTTGACCTGCCCCCATTAGTGTATGGCGCTGCTAAAATGTGCCAGTGCCTATATTTAGTGGCACTCTGGCTGTTCCTGAGCAGCGATGGGGGAAATGTGAATGGTCTCCAAGGTGCTTTAAAGGGGAGCCCAGGGTTTTCCATTCAGTACTGCCTAAGTGTCCTTTTCCGGGTTCTTGCTGTGTCCGCATTAAGAGATAATGATGTTTCTGCCGCAACAGACTTTGGGAACCACTTTAGATCTCGGGGTTTTGGTATAACTTTCTCAGTTTGTGACATTATCAGGTGGGGCAGGGCTCGAGCGTGCTGCAGTCAGGAATAGAGCATTATTGAGAGACCATTGGTAGGTTTCTAGAGAAACTCACTCTTCCTTCAGCAGAGGAATCCGTCCTCATGCTCACATGAATTCCCACCGCCCTCCCCCCCCCCCAAAAAAAAAAAGATTCCTGGTTTCCTCTTCTCTAAATTCTGAATTACCGTTTGAACGATTCTAGTGCTAACCACACAGATATTGTGCCTAATCCAGGGTTTACATCTTGTTGGAGTCGGTGCATGAGAACTAATGTTAAACTCGGGCATGTCTGCATTACATCAGCAAAGCAAATCACAGCAGCCCCTGTGTTAAGATAGTGGATGCCGGAATGGGAGCATCCCGGACCTCGCTGTCTTATGTATTGCAGACTTGGACAGTGAGTCAGCACTGGCCACTGCAGAGGTCCCTCTGGTCCAGCCTCCCCTGGCCCATCATAACGCTCCTGCCACCAGGCTTTGGATTTGGCCATCTGTTCAATGTTGGCTCCTAACCCCAGGTGTTAAGAGCCGCACGCTCTACTTCAGCTTAGGCTAAAAAACTCATATATTTGGGTCATCACGTTTCTTAAAATCTCATTTACTTACAAGGCTTATTTTATTCTATAGGCCTCAAGTGCCCTGGCAGCTAAACTGGGTGACTTCTTAAAAGGCAGTTTGTCTCTGCCACTTTTGTTTGGCAAAATCACTGACAGTGACCCTTTTTGCATTGTCCTTGTGTTGTAGAGAGTCCATCCGTTACTGCCTTTCTCAAAATCGAAACCCAGCATACAAACACTTCATCATTTCAACCCCTAAAGCACTTGGCCCAGCAGCCTCTCTCTTGTGCTTTCAGAATGGCCAGGCAAGAGGCAGACTATCGGACCACCTTCCACAAAGCACTAAGAGAAATTTAGTTTACCATGGCATAGGATGTCATTACATGTGAATTCCTGAGTAATTTTTTTATAACACAAAGAAAAGAGATTTATTCAAATATGTAAGACAAATGCATCTGTCAACTGCTTCATTTCTTTAAAGTGTAGAAAGATAGTATTATATAATAATTCATGATATGCTGGCCTTTCACTGTTTTCTATAGTCGCAGGTACATATTATATATTATATTATATATTCCTAATAATATACAGTATAAGCAACAGCTGCTACCAAGACTGCTTTATTCCATTATTAATTTTTTGTTGGTAGATTAGACTGTAAAGCAGCAATTTCCTAGGAGTCCATAGATGAGTGTTTTAAATATAGGATCTGATCACATTGACCATTCTACCTTTTTTTTTTTTTTTGGTCCTCATGCCTCATTACAGGCACTTGTTCTGCACTCAGGTTCTGAGGGAGTTTAGATACGACCAACAACATCTCAGTTATCATTGGCAGCTTGTAGTTCTGTGTGGCAGGAATTCCATAACGTGTTGGCCATCCCTTAGACAATAGAGATATGGCTGTTATCTCCATTTTCCAAGAAGAAAATGGGTTAAACTCTGAAATAGGTGTAATGTTTTGAAAAGCAAGGATTTGAAAAGCAAAGACTTGAACATATTTAATCTGACATCGGGACCCCTTACTCTTACCTACAGCTGAACTCTAAGATGTTGGAAAGTTCATGAAGTAAATTTTAGAATTGTAAGGTGACTTCCTAAAGTCAGAAGAGAATTTCCTCAGCAACATTAGATGTGTTTTGACACAGCTAATTAAGATACCCAAATGTGTGGCTCTTATTTTCTTGAAGGCCTAAAACATCTTCAAGTTACTCTGTCTTTTGTACTCATCCTAACCACCCTCCTCCCCCGTTCCCTCCCCTCCCCCCCCCCCCCCCCCCCCCCCCCCCCCCCCCCCCCCCCCCCCGCTGTCAGTTGTTGAGGCCATACAATTATGATAGCCATGCCTTACTCCTAAAAGAGAACTCGTAGACACCCCTGCCCCACTTTTTAAAGTGAAGTGATTTTTCAGGTCATGAAAAAAATCTATTGAACTTTTTTCCTCCATTCTCAAGCATATCTGCCACGTGTGCAATTCAACTGCTTTTATTTTAGGAATAGGTCAAAGTTTTGGGATAGTGTCAAAACACCGTCCTGGCCGCCATTTCTAACATCCCGAATGCATCGTAGTTGTGCTTAGAGCCACAGCTCTACAGCTTCTCCCTCAGATGCTCGCTTCCAAAATAATACTCACAAGGCTCTGGCTGAGGGCGATGTACTAATAATTGGTTGGAATTTATGGGTGAAAAGTCAGTTTGTATTGATGGCTCCTCATCAATACATAGTTTTTGTCTTAAACCATAAACCCTCCCAACACATTAAAACACATAGACATTAAAAGTGAACCCTGAAATGGGCTCTTATCATTCTCCCACCCCCCCCCAAAAAAAATCCTAGTTCTGCCAAATGCTGTGCTTTGTTTGATTTGTCTCAAAGTAGATGTCTCTTTCTCTCTCTATTTTTTCGATTACTATTACTATCATCTGCATCATTTGAATGGGACTTTTGCAATGAGATGTCTAAATGCATACTTGACTTTATATTGGAGAGTGGGGCAAAGTGAAAAACAGAGCTGTTACCCATTAGCAATGCTATTTGAAAATGATGGGTTTTTATATATATATATATATAAAATAGATGCCTGTGAATCACCAGTGTGTGCTCTAATCATTAACTGGTAATGCAGACAGCCTGGTGGTCATAGTGGGTGGAAATGATCCGATGGTATAAATGAGGGGCTGAAAGTCCAGTGACTGTTATGGTAGCTATTAGCATACATCTAAATTCATTTGCTTTTCTAATGTGGCATTACTAGAGTAAAATACGTACAAATTAACCTCCATTTGATGTGTGTTCAGCATTTTTAGGAGGGCTTTTAGGGGCATCAGTGGAGAGGGGGAGGGGGTGACAAATTGATGTTCTGAACTGTAAACGCAGACCGGTCAGGGCGGCCCACTGAGTGTGTGTGTGCCTCGGGTCTTGACCTCGGAGGGGCTCTCCTGAAGACCCCAAGCTCTGCCTCCTCTTTGCTTTGCTCATACCCATACTCCCATGGGAAGGATGGGAAGGTCGGATGCCATAGACCCCAGAGTGGGGCGGGGAAAGTGAATGGTTCCACCGGTGTGTGCCCTGTTTGACCAGATGGGTTTGTTTTCTGTCTCTGCTTCCTCCTGGGATCTGATTACCTCTGTGATCCACAGACTGACAGTGAACGGACAGACACGGCTGCTGATGGGGAGACCAGCGCCACCGAGGTAAGGATGGAGACCGAGCGTGGGAGTTTGCGAGCAGCGGTGCATTGTGGGTGACTCTGAGTGCAAGGTTTCTCTGTATTTGATTCTGAACTGGAAGGAATTGCCAACTTTCAACCAAAACTGATTGATTGATTGATTGATTGATTGATTGATTGATTGACTAATTGATTGATTCTTCTGTTTTTGCCTAAGCCAGTGATTCTCAAACTCCGACTTAGGTCAGAGGGAGCCGAATAGTCTCCCCCTCGTGTTTCTGGTTCTGAAGGGCTGAGGAAACGGGATGGATAGTTCTAACCAGTTCCCAAATGACTGGGCTCTTGATCTGAGGATTGCATTTTGAGAAACAGTTACCTAACTGACAGTACCTTAAGGACGAAAGAGGGCCAGGCAATGGGATAATTCCATGGAGTCTATCGAAGGTCAAAGGAATTTATTCAGGATTGAACTCACAACAAGAATAATTGAGTTGGTCAGGGAATCCAGGAAGGGTGGGGCGCAGTCCAAGGCAGTGCTCAGAAGAGTTCTGCCTTGATCCACAGCACCAGCATCCAAGACTGAGGTAGCAAAAAAGGAGCAAGCAGGTACTCTTCCCAGATCTTAAGGGGTCCGGGTCTGGGCCATACCCAGGAGAGGGTGGGGCAGGTCCCTAGTAGTTACCTGCTGCCTCATTAGGGGCGATGCTTCAGGGTAAAGTGCAACCACTCCAACAGCCAGGGGAGGTGGAGGAGGGGGGTGATTCGTCTGTTTGGGATGGAGGCTGATTATATATGCTAGCCATGACAAGGGAGGAAGACGGCTCGTGGATAATTGAATTAGCTTATTGGCTAGATACAGATATATTTGTAAACCACCCCCCCATGACAAACTAATACTTATTAAAGTAATACTTCTTAACACTTTTTTTCTGAGCCCCAGGCTATAATACAAGTCACTCTCAGGAAATGAATTCTCTAAAGAAATTGACAAATTTAAAAAAAAAAAAAATGCAATCAAACAGTGCCCTATTCCTTCTCCTGAATTAAGTCTTTAAGATATATTAAATGTGTGTCTGTGTGTGTCTGTGTGTGTCTGTGTGTCTGTGTCTTGTCTTTCTTAAAACCTGCCCTATTAGTAGCAATTAAAATACTATAGAGGTGGGACTGGAGTGATGGTCCAGCAGTTAAGACTGTATCCTAGCACCCACATCAGGCAGCTCTGGTGGAATCCGACGCTTGTGGCCTCTACAGGCACCTGTGCTCATGTGTGCATACCCTCACACACACAGACATGTGGTTTAAAAGATATTTCAATGTTTTTTTTAAACACTGTAGTAGCAGTAGTTATATAGTGATGGAAATCAAGATGCTCATTTCTCACAATGCTAGAATTTAAGTTTTGCTTTGTGACCAAGTTTACTTTAGGTCATGTGTTGTTTTTTACGTAATTGAATAGTAACCATATTTTGTAGTTGAGTTTTTGGGAAGAACTAAAAATGCTGTAAGTAATATCCATATATCACTTAACTGAAAGATGTCTTTGGTATTTTATAAGAGTTCTCCCTTTCTAGTGCTGTGGCTTGGAAATCATGGCATTTTAAAGTAGAAGATAATAGCATGACGGCATCTTCCAGATTTTCTTCAGCTGCCATGGCTAAGTGAACAGGTTAATCATTTTCTTTGCCAAACAAAACTGCACCTTGAATTGTAAGAGATAGTTTTAAGTAGCCACAGACTAGTACATTCAGTAGATAGCATGCAGTTGTAAGTAGCCACAGACCAGTACATTCAGTAGATAGCATGCAGTTGTAAGTAGCCACAGGCTAGTGCATTCAGTAGATCATACCCAAACCTGATCTCTAGTAAACATGAGCAGTATTTCAATAATAATGCCTTAAATCTCTCTAGCACTTTTTAAATTTGTTACATAGCATTAAAGCAAGCGAGTACCCCTATATAATCTTGTACACTGTGAAAACTAAAAATGAACTAAAGAGCTGTGACCCATCACGTACATAAGAACCAGCATGTCACCAGTGGGTGGGTGTCCTGTTGCCCTTGTGTACACATTCCCTTCCCTTCATGTCCCCGGCATTACTGCACTTCAGGGATATGCAGGGAAAGCACCTTGGTCCCCACAGACTGATAAGAAATCTGAAACTAGCTAAGACATGACTGTCCATACCTGTAATCCCAATACTTGGAAAGCTGAGAATGTGTGTGTGTGTGTGTGTGTGTGTGTGTGTGTGTGTGTGTGTGTGTGAATGCTCTGCTTAGCTACTTGCTTGAGCATGACCTTGTTCTCAGCTGTCATTTGACTCTGGGTCTCACAAGGACCTGAAGACCAGGTTCTGCTTGGTCAGAGAGCTGTGGTGAGAAACACCTTACCGTGCTGGCCCATGGGCCGTGACCCACTTGCGCAGTTACTGATACTCGATGGTAGGCCAAGAATAAGCTAGGCCCTTCAAACTGGAAAAGAAAGAACAATGAATTGCCAGTGAGATATTTTTAATGGGTATCTTTTTAATTAAAAAAAAAAAGTTACCCTGTTTTGTTTTAAAGAAAGATATAGTAGTTTTGTTGATGGTAATTGATCTTATTTATACTTCCTTCCTTTTCCTGTGCATCAGTCTGTTCTCCTCTAAAACTTGTTCTAACCATGGAGGTTCAGCTGGGTGTGGTGGTTCATACCTGTAATCCCAGCGCTGTAGAAACTGAAGTGGGTGCCCTTATCTCAACAACAAAGTGGAGGCCAGAGAGAGGGCTCACTGGTTAAGAGTGCTGGCTGCTCTTCCAGAAGACTCAGTGTTGATTCCCAGCACCCACAGGACAGCTCATGACCATCTGAGACTGCAGTTCTAGAGGATCCAACACCTCCTCTAGCCTCTACAGGCATGAGGCCCACAAGAGCAGCACAGACATCCATGCAGGCCAAACACTCATACACAAAAATTTTAAAAAATAGTAATTATAAAACAAAGTGTTAAGTACAAGGAATTCAAGGCTCCACATGGTTTTAAAATGCAGGAGGCTACATATTAAGCTCTCTGAGCTGCAGTTCTGTGGTCTACAAACTGTAAGTTACAAGAGCTGACATATAATCATTGTGAGGTCTGGCATATAGAGGGGCTGTCATTTTCCCATAATGATAGCCGTTCTTAGGAGCTGTGAACTGATTCCCCAACTTCCAGACTCTAAAACCTCTGCTAATGTTCAGTGAGGACAATCTGCCAACCCCCCCGCTGCCCCCTTCTCAAAGCACGTGCATCTGCCTGTTAAGATGCCAGAGAACCGCTGCGCAAAGAATCCATGGCTGCTTTGTTCTTACGAAGCTTCATCCTTTGTGTGAGAGAGTGGTGCTTTGTGTCTAAGAAGGCATTGCATCCGAATGCGAGAGCACCATGGTGCTCACCACCAGCGAGTATGCGTAGACCACAGGTCTTCTTCATTCTTAGAGTAAATTGCTTGGTAAGTCGTCTTTATCTCCTACTCTTTCTTGATGCTGGCAGTCGGACCAGGAGGAAGATGCAGAGCTGAAGGCACAGGTAGAAAATTAAAGATACAACAAAACCCCCAGACCAGCGTGTGAGACGTCATTGTGTGTCTGCCATGTTCAGACGTTTTTCTGCATGTTCCCTCTCGGTTACCATGCCAACGGCGTGTAGACTGGCATTTGTCCCCTTGACTACCGTGTCCCTTACCGTTCCCTCTCTTCTCCACTTTTTTCAGACTAGTCTGATTAAGCGAATAAAGGGTGAAAATGTGTATGTCAAACATAGTAATCTTATGTTAGAGGTTGGTATTGGTATGCACCAGTGCATGCTTGTGTGTATGTGTTTGATCCTTCCATGGCATACCTGTGGACTTGAACCATGATGCATGAACTGTGTACAGCTCAACTGTTAGTGACTGCGGATGATGTCTCGACTTAACTCTGATTCCGTATTCTCTCCTAGACATAGATCCCTTTTCCTGTGTGTGTATTTGTTTTAATCCTCTGGTTACATGTAAACTTCACTCCTTAGAATTTACCTTTAACCTTTTTTTTATTATTATTATTTGTATGCTGTGTGAAACTAAATTATTTTTCTCTCCCTTTTCCTGGAAATCCTACATTTTCATTAGAGCGTTTGTGGTAGTGTCTTGAACCCTGACCCAAATTCAGTTTCCTTTTGACTACAAATGTGTTTGGTATATTTTTAAAAGGAGAGGGGGAGTGTAGAAAGTCATTGCAAAAGTTTGACTGTTGGAATCTTCTTGCTCTGGCCATAGGAGCTAGAGAAAACTCAAGATGAACTGATGAAACACCAAACCAACATTAGCGAGCTAAAGAGAACCTTCTTAGAAACCTCTACGGAAACTGCCTTAACAAACGAGTGGGAAAAGAGGCTTTCCACGTCCCCTGTGCGACTGGCTGCCAGGCAGGAGGATGCTCCCATGATTGAGCCACTTGTACCTGAGGAGGTCAGTATTTGGGCATGGGCTAATTGTCTTCTGCCCAGATGGTATCACTTCTCCACAGGGTCTGGGACTGGAAAAGGGATGTAGTCAGACCTGGAATGAGGTACTAAGTGCTCCCAAGATATCTGCTAGGTAAACAGAGCAGGTGGATGAAGAATGAGTCTCAGCATCAGATTGTGCTAAGAATGACCATGACCAGGCAAGAATGACCATGACCAGGCAAGAATAACCATGGCCAGGCAAGACTGACCATGGCCAGGCAAGAATGACCATGACTAGGCAAGAATGACCATGACTAGGCAAGAATGACCATGACCAGGCAAGACTGACCATGACCAGGCAAGACTGACCATGACCAGGCAAGAATGACCATGACCAGACAAGAATGACCATGACCAGGCAAGAACAGGGAGACTCCAGTGCCCATTGCCTGAGTCTTACCTTTAATGTCAGTTGTATACCTGGGAGAAGTTGATGATCTCTTAGTGAACTGATGCTTTCTGTAAACACACTTTATTCTCCTGCATTGAGAAATACCCTTAAAAACTGGTTTATTCTTCTCACTAATTGGAAAATGAGGCCTGATAACATTGTCTGCTGCTTAACAGGGTGTTAGAAGTTGATAGCATTTCAGAACAGATAATTACTCTGGCATATAATACTGGGCTTTTATTTAATTTAATGTTTTTTATTTTAATTAGAACTGGTTATTTTATATAATTCTGAATCAGTGGGTTTTCTTGGTTTTTGTTGCTGCTGTTGTTTTAACATGGGAAAAGCAAATGACAGAAGTCCTTTTTTCAGTAAGACTTTTCCATATAAGGAAACTGACTTTTACGTGACAGTGGGGGCTCAGCTCTGTCACTCCAGGGCTCTCACTTTGTGGCTGTAATGGCCATTTGATCATCCATTAGAGAGCATCCTGCTATCTCTCTCTTTCAAAATAAATCGTTTTGGGAAATTGCGTCTGTAGAGCCCTGTATTGATTAGCCCCCTTATCAAGATCCTTTTATTGTGAGATATTTGCCCAAGAAGCTGGGACAGAATAGAACATGAAATCTCCAACTGTGGTGGGAGAGAAAGCCTTTAAACAGTAGTATATACACAATGCTGAAGCACTTGCAGAGAAAATAAGAATCAAATTACACCCATTGTTCATACTCCTTTGAAAGCTGTTTATCAGAAGTGCCAGTATCTCATTATCACTTCATTCCCAACAAACTAAACTCCATCCCAACTGAAAAGGGGAGAGCTGGATACCCATCTGAGCTACTTTGAAAAAGTTCTTTTTAGGCAGAATAAATTAGAAGTATTGTTACCAAAGTCTCTCTGGACTGTTAAAAACCAGTTCCACTCAAATTGCTTAAGTATCAGGGGACAAAATTTAATGTTCAGCCTGGTGTCGTCATTGTAGTCTTTGCATGATTAAGACTAATACCTGTAGATGGAGGAAATGGTGAATCAAGCATTTGATGTTGTAATATGAGGACAGAAGTTTGAAGAGTCCCCCCAGCACACCCTAAAGCCAGATGTGGCCGTGGACCTCTGCTGTCCCAGCATGCCTGCAGCAAAAAGAGGCAGAGACAAGGGAGTCCCCCGGAGCTCCTGGGCCACCCAAGCTGGCATGTGCAGCAGTGAACAGCAAGAAACCTTGCCTCAAACATGGCAGAACATGAGAACTAAAACCCAAGCTTGTCCTCCGACCTCCACATGCATGCTGTGGCACATGTATGCCCTCACTCACACATCTATACACATGTGCACACACACATGAACATATGCATACACACACACACACACTTTTTTTAAAATGTCACTTGCTCATTATGATGTCAGAGATTTTATTGCAGTTTTCGAATCTGGATTGTTTTATTTCTGTTATCTCATTTGGAAACAATGTTCTGGCTCTAAAGATGTTAGATACTGGCTTACGTTATAAATACACAGAACAAATAGCCACCAAAGCAAAACAAAGTAAAAACAAAATAAGGTAAACAAACAAAAAGAATCCCAGCATCTCTCTCCATGCTGATACTGAAGGAAATGGTAGATGATAGCCTTTCTGAATCAGAATTTGGGTAATAAGAGATATTAATAAACATGAAGACTTTGAAAGTCAAAGCCATAAATGACTGATTGAAACATTGTACTCCTCAATCTTAGGGAATGATGTTGACTTAATAATTGAAGGACTTGGTACTTTGACTAACCCTGAGTGTTCCCTGGATGGTTGTGCCTTCTCTGTGTCAGTGCAAGCAGTGGAGACAGCCAAGAAAGGCCCTTTTCAACATACCCAAATAGAAACATGCCTTTGTAGCTAAAGGGCAGTGCCACTTGGGTCCACAGACTTGAAAAGGAAGTGCAAAGCTGGCGTGGTGGCTGCTGTCACATCTCCGCAGGAACACCATGTTCCCATCACTATCGTCCACACATGAAATCCCAGGAGGCCCTTGTCTGGGTATAGTGAAGTCGAGAATGATGGATGCTGGACAGCAGAGGAGTTCTAGAAAAGCTAGGTAATTCAGGTCCTGAAGGATGAGAGCTGTTCTCACATGCTTCAAGCCCTGTGCTTCTCTCGATAGCTGGGCCAAGCAGAGCGAACTCCACATTCCCTTGTGTTCTTAGAATGAGACAGTTGTCAGTGACATCCAAGTTTATAGTCCAGCTGGCAGCCCTATAGATAGCCAGAAGACCAAAGAAAACATTCTTATTGTCTAAATCAACTCCAGTCTCTACATTTAGACCTTGGCTTTTCTTTCCGGCTTTATGAAAAGCAGACAATCTCTTTAGCCTCCAGGCTAGGAATGTACAAAGCATATTGGTTTACAGACCCATAAACAATCAGTTTTATTTTAGATAGGAGACATTTTTCAAAGAATATCAGTTGCTTGGTATCTGTTATTTGATATGGCCACTTTAATTATCCAGTGTAGAAAGAATCCCAGCTGTGTCTACATAGAAATATTTAACTTATTTTTCAAATTCACATCACAAATAAAATAATACTATTCTGTGTCAGAATCAGGAAGATACTTAGATTCAATGACCTCACACTTATGACCCCAACTTAGTTGGTTTCTTTTTTTTTTTTTTTAATGAATTTCAGTGAGAAAATATTTTGAAAAAAAAATCTAATGACTTCAGATTTTTAATTTTATCATCTTTTTATCTATAATGGTTGAATACTGTGTTACTTCTGTAAAATACTACCATTAATGACCAATTTAAAAAAAATGCTAAAGCTGAAAAAATGTATAGTGAACTAATAATGATTATATTCTGAGAATTTCATGTGTTCACTGTACATAAAGTTAGACTTTGATTGCCAGTGACTTCAAGTTTCAAATGTTTGAGTAAATAGCAGAGGCACCCTCAAAGCAGTGGATAAACTCAAGTCCTTGTTCACATTAACAAACAGATCAGTTCATGTGGAAGAGACATGTTCTCTGAGACAATGAGCACAAACAGTTCCCAAAATGGCCTTGCACATGGCACATAGGCCAGCACATTTTAGAGCTGTGTTCTTTAGTGGTTACTTGGATACCAAAATTTTCCAAATCCCAATCAAAAAGCAGTATTAATGCCTGTGTGATACCAATATTATCCTCTTTTGCAAGTGAGCTGTAAATTCACAGGTATATTCACTATATAATATAGTGAGCCTAATAGGTATAGTGCATCTAATATAGTAGAACTTTGAGATAGACACTGACTATAGTTGATTCCCATTATTTATGACTTTTTATATTTATATTTGTCTTCAAATTTACCTGTTCTCTAACATTTATTATTAGAAAGCCTTAATAATCCAAGAGAGAATTAGTATTAGGAATTTTGTATCCCTGAATAGGATTCTGCATCCCAAGTATATTGCAGAGTAATGTTTAATAACTAAATAAAATGGTTGACATATACACTTGACTGTATTCTTAGCTGTAATAGAGGAACTGGTGTAGAGGCTTCAGTTTATCGGTAGCTTATCGCTTCCTTATCAATTTATCACTTCCTTAGTAGAGGCACTGGTTGGGTTGGGAGGTAGACCATGAATATACTTTAACTTTATACCTATCCCTCTATGTTAGCTGTTTCTGTTGCTGGAACACAGTTCTAAATGTGGCCTGTTGGTGTTTCCATTAACAGGCACTTGTTTTAAAAATTAAAGTTTTTTTAGGCCAGGAAGTTTCCTGAAACCCACTGTTTCAATGCCTGGCTTTTTCCCTAGCTCTTATCTTTGGAATAACGTTTATCTCGATGGTCATAATTAGAGGTCTGACAGCCTTATTCTGGAAGAGCACCTCTGATTGTGAACTTCCCTTCCTGTTCCTCACTTCTGTTTGAAAAAGAAGTTGTTACTGAAAGTATTTGTTTTTAATCTGCATTTAATAATTGCTCATAGTAAATTTTACCTTTTGCAGTGTCCTCCTCCAGAGTTGCAACAGGATAAGAATTGTGTTTCTCCTATATAAACGGGTTACTTACCTCTCGTTTGAAAGAATCATCTGAGAATAGTATTGTCACAATTTACAATAGGTCCCACAAAATGTTCCAGATGTTCCCCTACAGTCATTTCAATGCAGTTCTTACTAAATGACTAGTAGGCAAATAGTTACTTCATTAGTAGAGGCACTGTTAGGTTGGGAGTAGACCGTATCCCACTCTGTTAGCTGTTTCTGTTATTGACACATGGTTCTGAATGTGGCCTAAACTCTAAGGAGTTTTCATAAAAGTATATTGTTTATAATAATACGATTCACTTAAAGAATTCCATTCTTCCAGAAGCTTTGAATTTTGCTTGGTCATTTTATTTATTTTTTATCTTTTTATTCATTTTATATACCAACCACAGATCCCCCTCTCATCCTTCCTCCCACTCCCCCTTCCACCCCCCAGTCTCCCCTCCTCTGCCCCACCCCTCATCCCCTCCTCTAAAAGAATAAGGGCTCCCATGGGGAGTCAGCAGAGCCTGGTACATTCAGTTGAGGCAGGTCCAAGCCCCTCCCCCCTGCATCAAGGCTGTGCAAGGTGTCCCGCCATAAGTAGTGCGCTCCAAAAAGCCAGCTCATGCACCAGGGATGGATCCTGATCCCACTGCCAGGGGTCCCTCAAACAGAGCTTGGTCGTTTTTGGATTAATTTCAAAACTATTCTTTCTATCCTTACTGTATGGAGTTGTACACTATGCAGAGACAGGCCTAGGTAACAGTGGGCTTACCATTTGAATTAGGTCTATTTAATACTAAAGGAAATAACAAAGGGATGCTTTAAAACTCAAGAGCTGCTTCCCACCTCAAAGGATGAAATCAATGTTGCTTGATTCTATACATTAAAGAAAATTACAGTTTGATCTAAAGTTTCCACTCAGACCATTTGAAATTAACTTTAAAAAAATTATTCACCGTATTATAAAAGTTCAACTAAAGTTTGACTTTTGTTTGCTTAGAGGCCAACAAAGACATCTATTCAGAAATGGCTGGGTTTGTGCAAGTGAATGGTGTTCCATTTTGCTTTCTCTACGGTGATTTAAAAAACAATCTGACCAAAAGCAATTTAGGGAAGCAAATGGGCTTACAGTTCCAGTTCACAGTCCATCCTTGAAGGAAGGAATTCAGGCAGGAACCTGAAGTAGAATCCCTTGGATAATGTTGCCTGCTGCTGACTCACCGGCAGGCTCCTGCTTAGGCAGCTTGCTTGTGCAGCCCAGCATCATCTTCCTTGGGCATGATACCACCTACACAAAGAACAATCAAAATGAACCCCCACAGAGATGCCCACAGGCCAGTCTGGTCTGGGGAATTCGGCCACTGAGGTTTTCCTTCTCAAGTGACTCCAGGTTGTATCAAGGGGACATTAAAGGTATAACCAGGACAGGTGACTAATGCACCAGCCATGTGCACATTTCTTCGCTACCTCCTATCACGTACATGAGGATATGGTGGGATATTTGTTAGAAGCAGAAGCAAGTGTCTCTCCTGTTACGTTTAAAACTATTTTCTTCACATTTTTTGTTTTAGTCCTTACTATTAGGGCCATGAGAGAAACCCAGTGAAATACCGAACAACCCTCCCTACCCCCCCCCCCCCCCCCCGCTGCCCCGCCATGTGCTCTGTGTTTGTGGAAATGTAAAATATCTGAGTTGTGTGAGCATCCATTTCAGGAAATAATGTTGTCCATTTGGAGATGACTATTAAAACTGGAAATGGTTCTAGATCACTTTCCAGATGAGTAATTCTTCAAGAGAAACATGAATGACTATGAATACATATACGATGCAGTGCTGGCTTCCTAACTCATCTTTCTGGAAAATGTCTGCTCCCTCTTCTCCAACCCCCTTTATTCAAACAGACCAAAGAAGAGAGAGAGATTTCTGAGAAAGTTGTATTTTTACAGCAAGGAAGTCCACCATTCCTTGAGTCTCAGGTAAAAAAGCAAACACAACGTACTTGCGTAAAGGAATCAGTCTTCTTCAGTGTCACTGAGGTGTCTGGTTGTTACCTCTTTAGTTTTTCTTGTTTAAAGCTAAGGTGGGTATGTTAATTGGCTTAGACTTTGGGAAAAGGAATTTTCTTAGTATGTTCGTGATCAATTACATATTCCTCAGGACTTCTACATGATAAAAATTACCATTGAAGCTTTGTTTCTACTTGTGATAATCTTCTGAAACTGCCCCCCCCCATCTGTTTTTATCTATACACTGCTACTATATTAAATGACTTTGACTGGTTTCTGAATGCTCTGAACTTATCTTGGTTTTCTTACTAGCCAAGTGTGATTAAGAAAATGCGGGAAGGCGTCTCTGCTGATTCTGTGGCCACTTCTCATCAAATAATTTTTCAGAAAACTGTCCCATCGACCCTAGAGGTTATTTTTTTCAATTTGTTTCTTGTAGTCCGATGCCAGCATGTAGATCAACCTGCAATTATTTTGCTTCACACAAGCATGTATCTAGATTCAGGTTTTCAGGCTACAATAAATAGAAAACAGCACCCTAGCACAAAATGCTTGCCTGCTCTGGTTTGACCTTTGGTTTGACCTTGCCTCCTTCTGTAACCTGGTAGGCTGGTTAGCAGTTACCCATATCATCCTGTTAGCTCTCCTGTAGGCCAAGGTTTCTTACTATCTGTTTGCCTTGTTGGAACTAACACTAAAGAAAGTGGGAGAGAAATTACTGAGACATCAAACTGCAGTTCCTAGTTAAGATGAGAACACTCTACAGACCACTAAGTCTTATTTATAAAAGGATCCAATCAGTAGTGTCCCATCAGGGGAAATTCCATCACAGCACCTTGGCTACAGGTGCACCCAGTATGCATTGATACTAAGTATAGTCATGAATGGACGTCCCTAGATAAGGAAATAAATTTGCACACATGGGAAATGGTATTTACAGAAACTTGGAGAACACCTTCCACTTCCTTGTGGAAATGCCGCTATGGGAAGCACTCTGTAACAGCAAACAGGGAAAACTGTCTTTTGTGCCTACATGTATAAAGCTGAATAGTTCAGTTATACCATCCAAATCTTAAGTTAAAAAACAACCAGCTGCCGACCATAAGGTCAAATAGATTCCTTATAAAATTCATTGCCAAGATATGTTCCTATTTAAAGAAACGTGAAATTGCAACGCCACCGCCCCCCCCCCCATACACACACACAGAATGTATTCTGGGTTGAAGTTAATAGACTTTAGGTAAGAGGGGACTCCAGCCATAATTCTTAAATGATGGCAGCCACCCTTTGCTTGAGCCCTATCTCATGCTGGAGTGTAGCTTATGCCCTGATATTTTTTTTTTTTTGTAAAGGATTCTTTTATAAACAAGACACTATCAGCTTTTCTAATTTAGCTTTTATATTTTGAATATAGGGCACAGAGGATTGGGTTATTGTAGACAAAATACCCACTGAGGTAGTTGATGGTGATTCAAAAAAGATTGTGACTTACAAGGTGGTTACCGTGAGCAGTAAAACTGGTGAGATCCCAGCCGACTTACTGAAATCTAGCATGATTGACATGCATGGCTTCGATGACTTGGCCAGAGAAATGCAGCTTCAAGAAGAGAACAAGCAGAAGATGTACACACTAGGGAAATCCTACGACACCGTCTCTGGAAGAATTGTTTCCATGACTGGGAAAGCGAAAGAGGGCGAGAGAGCCGCCCAGCCCTCCTCACTGGAAGCCCTGCAGAAGATGGAGAGAGGCGCCACCGCTGCCGCCGAAGCCCTGAAGGTCGGTCCCCTGCTGGTGGAATACGAGGTCCTGGAATCCCTGGCTGATGAGAAATCCAGAAGAGGACCCGAGGTCCAGACCCCGAAGCGGAGGTTGTCAGAATCCCTGGCGCCCATCAAGGAAGCTGAATCTCGGCGGCAAAGCCCTGAGGAAGATGATGCCCAGAAGGCTCCAAAGCTGGGAGAGAATGTGCCTGCTCACCCCCGGTTCAGCAAACCGCAGCAGGTGCCCGAATGTGAGGTGTTGAAGGTGGGGCCCTTTGGCCCACGCAGGAAGAGCCTGTCTGAGTGGCGCTACTCCCAGGAGCCAGCCTTTACTGTGGCCACTGCTCACTACGTCACTGAGTCATCCGCATCCCAAGTGGTGGTAACCAGTGGCTCTCATTCGGTCACAGCTTAAGATTCCAGCATGCCAGTTTTTCAAACGGCGCCCTTCCACCCTGAACCTTTTCCCGTTTCGCTTGACTTTATGTTGAGAGCAGCCAACCCGGCTTTTTTATTTTTCCATGATTAAATCAATACTGCAGTCTAAAACGTCAGCATTAAAATACTTTTCCTTTTTTTTATTTCTAGCTGCCTGTTCCCAAGATCCGTGATAACGCTGCTGTGGCTTGCAATTAAGCGGGAGGGGGTGGGTTGGCAGTGGTTGGAAAAATGACCTGCTTAAATCGGCGCCACCTTGAACGTAGTAACTCTCTGCTTTAGCACACGAGGGCTCACCGTCACCTAGTTTGCTATGTTATGCCCCATTCTTTTCTGTTTCCAAGCTCTGTACGTGGACTCCTCCATTCCTCCTTCCTTTTTTCCCCCCTCTGCCTCCAGTTTTGTCTAGCAAGCTGCAAACCCGTGTGTCAGAGGCGTCTCGCTCTCTCTCGCTCTTGACTCTCATTTCTCTGTTCACTCAGACTAAACAGTCTTCTGGGGAGAAGCTCATGGACGGCTCGGAGATCCTCAGTCTGTTAGAGTCTGCACGAAAACCCACCGAGTTCATAGGAGGGGTTTCATCTACTACCCAGAGCTGGGTGCAGGTGGCCGTTTCCTCCTCCCCCTCCTTGGTGTTTCTGAATGTGCCCCATTTGCTTTGCTTTGTGAATCAGTGGCAGGTGTGTGTCTGTGTGTTGCATCCCAGTGACCTTGCCTTCCTGCATCTCAAAAGATGTCCCCAGTGATGGTCCTTTGTGCTACTGTTGCTGCATGCGTCTGTCGTATACCTCCCATCCCACTTCAGGAATGTGCATCCTGTACTCAAGAGCAGTTGTGTTAGGAAATTTTAATAGCATTTAACCTTTAGATACATTTTGTCTCATCCGTTGGGTCTAAGAGCCAGTGTGACTGTGAAACTTCCATTCTCCTTTCCTCCGCTTGAGTATTTTATTGCTTTCTGTTTCTTTTGCCAATGCTCTGAGAAAGCTGTGCAGGTCCGTGTGTGTGTGTGTGTGTGTGTGTGTGTGTGTGTGTGTGTGTGTGTGGTGTTGAAAGGCACACCTCAGAGCTGGTAGGAGAAATGAAAGCTAACTTTTATTTCCATCAGTGTTTGTGCATATGAGCTCTTGATGCCGGCTTTGGACATCCTAGTGAGCAGCAGCTTTGGGGGTTTTGTCGGTTTTGTTTTATGGAGGGTCACGCCACCGACACTGTGCTCTTCCCCTAACAGAAACTGGAAACGAAGACGGAGTCCATCGAAACCGAGGTGGAATCGACCCTCCCCTCGCAGCCCCTCGGCACTGAGAAGGTGCTGCAGGAGACGGTGTTGGTGGAGGAGAGGCGTGTCATGAGTGTGTGTGGGAGTGGGGACGCTTCTCACACGGAGGGGGATGGTGTGGACGCAGCGGAGTCCACACCTGCAGATCCTCACAGCGTGAAAGGGAAGGAGGCCTCTTCTGTGACCGAAGCAGCGAAGGAAGAAAGAGGAGAGCAGGCGGACAAGTCTGTCCCCGAGCAGGAACAGCCAGCCCCTGTCTCCCAGGGGGAAGAGCAGGTGGTGGCCATGCACCCTTCTGAGGCTTTGGAACAGAAATCTCATTTTGAGGTAAACAGCAGTTACTGTAACTCTCAGGTGGAAACTAGAGCTACACTTGGTTTGATACCTCAGCGTGCAAGGGCCTTTGGTTTTCCTCTCTGCTCCTTGACTTTGCACGGCAGTGAAGGGCCTCCATGCTTTTATCCAGATGTGGGGTCACATAGAAGCATAAAAACTCATAAGTATTGATGCTGTATTGTTCCAAGTAGTGGTTTCTGTCATTGAAATTAAAACTGACAGGAAACATGGGGAACCAATGATTAGATATTAGAAAATCTGAAGGCCACAAAGATGGCTCGGTGGCTAACAAGTGCTTGTCACCCAAGCCTGGTGACCTGAGTTCAATCCCGGGAACCCACAGTGGAAGGGGAGAACCAAGTTCTAAAAGCTGTCCTCTGACCTACATACACACACACACACACACACACACACACACACACACACACACACCACACCACACCAACACCACCAATAACAATGAAGTGAAGATTTTTAAAAGAAAACTTGATGTTTATTTCTGATCCATGGACTTTTCCAGAAGGACCAGAAAGCTTTCCTCCAACTTGCAAAACTTTCTTCTTTATCACCTTTTACTGAGATCCTCCACACATTGGTGGGTGGTGACTGAGGACTTGGTACTTGGCCTCATCTTCCCTCATTACTAATTTAAAAGCTTGTTTAGAGGCTTAACTCTATCAGAATTTGCATATGAGATTGAGAAGGAGGAGCAGATTGCTTTTAATTTCTCCTAAAATGTTTCTGTTGCCTCGAACATCCTATGCCAACAACACGGTGTGATTTGGGGAGGCTGATGAGAATTTATGGTGTGCTGTGATCCCTGTCTTACCTCCTCATTTAATACGGAAACTTTGGCCATGAACAAAAGCACCAAAGACACCAGGAAGAGAGAGGAGTTCAAACTGTGTGCACACCTCGAGAATAACCCCTTCCCCCTTGCTTTCCACTGGCACAGTCCTCCACGGTGAAGATGGAAAGCATGAGTGTGGGCAGTGTTTCTCCAGGAGGAGTAAAGCTAGAAATCTCTACCAAGGAAGTGCCAGTAGTACACACAGAAACAAAAACCATCACATACGAGTCATCACAGGTAAGACCGGAGGCCTGGCAACTCTACAGGGTCATGCCTTCACATGTAACTTCACGGTACCAGTCCAAGAGGCTGAGAGGTCCCTGCATCTAAACCGTCTCTTGACAGAGAACAGTGCAGTACTGTGGCTTTTTGTTTGTTTGTTTTTTTGAGACAGGGTTTCTCTGTGTAGTTTTGGTGCCTGTCCTGGATCTCGCTCTGTAGACCAGGCTGGTCTCGAACTCACAGAGATCCACCTGGCTCTGCCTCCCGAGTGCTGGGATTAAAGGTGTGCACCACAGTGACTTAACCAAGGCTTTAGATAACCTTGGCATAGAAAAGTCTCAGAACCCTGGGTGTGCAGCTATGGACAAGAAAGATGAGTGGGCCACCCACCAGTCACATTTCTAAGATCTCAGTTTGTTAACATTCCTTGCCTGCAGCTTTGCCTAGAGTTCACTCCTAGAGCTCCCACGTTCTACCTGAATGGGGCTATGATTGTGGGAAGCGATTGTTCCTTCCTTCTGAGGAAGTGGGTTCTGGGTTTCCCATGGATGCATACATCTGCAGATGCTCCAATCCCTTGGTTAGAATAGTATAACATTCCCTCATAACATATGTGCTGTGGGATGACCTGTATGCTCTGAATGTGTTGCTCTGATTGATTAATAAATAAAGTGCTGATTGGCCAGTAGCCAGGCAGGAAGTATAGGCTGGACAAAGAGAGAGGAGAAGGCGGGGAAATGGAAAGCTGAGTGAGGAGACGCAGCCAGCCACCACCATGAGGAGCAGGATATAAAGTACTGGTAAGCCACAAGCCACGTGGCAAGGTATAGATTTATAGAAATGGGTTAAGATATAAGAACTAGATAGCAAGAAGCCTGAGCCATTAGGCCAAACATTTTAAATAATATAAGCGTCTGTGTTTATTTGAGTTTGAGTGGCTGCTAGCCCAGGAAGGACTGGAGATAACTCTAGCAACACATTTGGACATCCTCAGGTATAGTTTAGGTAATCTCTAGATGACTTACGCTACCTTGAGCAAGGTAAAGACTATGTTGGTGGTTATTATATTCTGATGTTTAGCCAATATCTGGACACATTCCATCTGGTTGCAAATGGTTTCTGATTATTTTCTGCCTGGGGTTGATTGGATCTTCATATGGGGAGAGCTGTGTTCACTCGGTCACTGTACTGCATTGAAGAATGAAACAGTCCTATGAAGAGTAAGTGTAACCACACCATGTACTGTGTGTGTCCCTGTCCCTGCTTAGGTTGATCCTGGGGCAGATCTGGAGCCAGGTGTGCTAATGAGTGCACAGACGATCACATCTGAAACCACAAGTACCACCACCACCACACACATCACCAAAGTAAGTGGAGCAAACACCGACAGGCATTATTCTGGATAGATGGAGAAAGGCATTGGCCGTCAAAACCTCTGACAGATTGGGCTGCACAAGGAATCCATTACTTGCCTATCAGATGTCGAGCTAGCTGTATTAAAAGTCAGCTTTGAAACGTCTGTCTCTACCATGAACTTATCATCCTATGCCAGTTTCTACAGAGGATTCCTTCTGGTATCCTTGATGCTCACCCCATGGTGGGCATAGAGTAGATCTCATAGAAACTGGGCCTACTAAACCCAAAGAACTCTACTTTTGAAAGTCAACATGTTGAATGCCTGTGGCAGACTGCTAGTTCAGTCCCGCGAGAGTGAACAACAGTGGCACCTCACACTTCCACCACCTTCTGCCATTACCCCAGTGAGTAACTCACAGAGGCCTTTCCGTTTCCTTTTAGACTGTGAAAGGAGGCATTTCGGAGACAAGAATTGAGAAGCGAATAGTCATCACAGGAGATGCTGACATTGACCATGACCAGGTAGTATGCTTGAGATAGTAAATGCTCTGACGGAGAAGTAAATGTGAACACAGTGGCCTTTCGGTTCCCAGTGCTGATCTTCTAGTTCAGCGTGTATTCTAAAATAGTGTCTGAGTTAACTTTCCAGTATATGATTTTTGAATCCTTCTGTAATCATTGTACCTCATTGTTAATTGTGAGTATAGATTTAGCTCATAAGTCTACACCTTGCTACTGCTCATGCATGTCCCACCTCCTTTTTGTTTTTACCCTTCTGTGGTTTCCTGGGGATAGGCGCTGGCTCAGGCAATTAAAGAGGCCAAAGAGCAGCACCCCGACATGTCAGTGACCAAAGTAGTGGTCCATAAAGAGACAGAAATCACACCAGAAGATGGAGAGGATTGACCAGAGGTAAGAGGTGACGCTGATTCTCTAGGCTTGCCTCGGCTGGCATGTGGCATGGGGCACCTCCCTCCCATCCTTCGCCCCATCCCCCCCCCCTCCTTTGTTCTCTCGCTGGCGTTTGTGGGGCTGGCTAGCGAGGAGATGGAGAACTGTGTGTGGGTACCAGGGTGCCTCTGCTGTGGAGATTCCATCTTCAGAGCTGTGTTCGCACCCACGCCAGCTAGAGGGGAAGGGAAAGCAAGGTCCTTGCTTGCCGGGTCTCACTGCTGCTCTTTTCGCCTTGGCTTTGCATTCTTCTCATTACCCAAATTTGAATTACCAAATTTGATTTCAGTTGCCGGGTGGCCTAATTAAAAACTGAAGCAGCAGGTTCTCCTGAGAAGCTGAATTTGTGTTCCCACTCATAGAAAAACTAGCCGTACCCCTTCACGCTTTGGGTGACAGCATCATCCTTGGAAGTGCACTCTTCCAAGACAAATGTCTATGCTTCAGACTGATCTAGTTTGAAACTGAGCACTAACTTTCCTTTTGAATGCCTTACATTTCCTGTATTCTGTGAGTGGCTTGCCCCATCGTATACTATTTTACCCCCAGTGGAGGCAGAAATGCAGATTTGTGGTCCTGTTTTCCTCCTGAAAGTGCATGCCTTGCCGATCTGTGTGACTAGCATCATGAGCAGACTCTGCCCTCTGTGTGTGCACAGCCTTGTCATGTATACTGACCTGCCATGTGAGAACTCAGGTGGCCGTGCGCATCCCTAGGTGGACTGTAAATGCTGAGTGCCCTCGCAGCTACTGATGCATGTACTTCTAGAATGAGACATTGAAAAGAGGTTGTCTAGATCTGTTTCTGAAGCATTTAGGTTAATGAATAATACCTCTTTTTTTTTTTAATAAGAAAAGAGCCGGCAGTGGTGGCACACGCCTTTGATCCCAGCACTTGGGAGGCAGAGGCAGATGGATCTCTGTGAGTTCAAGGCCAGCCTGGTCTACAGAGCGAGATCCAGGACAGGCACCAAAACTACACAGAGAAACCCTGTCTCGAAAAACCAAACAAAATAAATAAATAAATAAATAAATAAATAAATAAATAAATAAATAAATAAATAAAATAAGAAAAGAAAATGCTAAACTCACTCAGATTCAAATTAATAGGATTCTTGAAAGATGGGGAAAAAAGTGAAAACGAGAAAAGTTTTTTTTTTTTTTTTTCTCCAATGGGCTTTGGCCACTTGGGTGACATAATTTTATGCTGTAATATAACAGCTTCCTGTCGGACTGAGCATTTTCACTTCCACGGGACTTTCTGTAATGACTCGGATGTTTTCAAATGAGAAACTAACACAATCTTTTCTCCCACAGGAATAACTTAGCTTGCACATGAACCCAGTCATATAAACCGTTAGGAAAACCGGAGCCTATGTGGAGTTCCCTCTTCTAACCCAACTGACTTGCATCTGTCCGTGGAAAATTCCAGGAGAACTGACCTTGACCATTAATGAAAGACACTGGCAGAGAGATCTTCCCATCATAAAGCAATCTGAGTCAGCATCACTAAACTGATGATACTGCATGAAGCAATGATAAAAATCACAAAAGAACCGCACTTTTAATTTTCACCAAAATATCTGTTTTCAACTCTACCTGCACGTTCATAACCAACAGTGTAAACCGTGATCTCATGTAACACATCAACAACTCATGCCTTTCATAGTTTATTATTAAAGTCTCAACAAAATCGCAGTTTCATAGGTGACAAATTCTCTGTTTACAAATAATGACCCTAAAACGCTATCAGCCGTCTAGGTCCGGTGTGTCAGATTTACCCCAGATTAGATGTGCCAATAACCAATTTTATTCAGTGAACAACTTGAATCTTGTCCTTGTCTAATCTGGCTTTATTATTCTCACCCATAAGCAGTAATGACTCTCTGACCCTCTAGAAATATTTAATGCTTACAATCTTGCTTTGTGTCTCTAATTTGTTATAAGGTAGAACTGATTTTAGCACATTGATGTAATTTCTTCCTAGTCATTCGCTCTGGTCTGCGTTCAATCCAGAAAGATTCCCAGAATTACCTAAGCAAACCCTCAATATGTAAATTATCATTGTTTGGGGAAGAAAACCTGTATTTTTGTTAGTTTACAATATTATAAGAATTCACTCCAGGAATACCTGTTGGGTTACTTTTGCTTTGTTGTTTTTCTTTTCCTTGTATTTTGTTCATGGATTATTTTTTTTCTTCTTTTACTTGAACGAAAAGGTGTTTTATTTACCAATCTGGTCCATATTTACAATCTAGTTCAGAGCCAAGCCTTAAATTGTACAGAATTTCCACTGTAATTAAACTGTTTAGTGTGTAGTTATAAAGAGCCTCCAGAAAGATATATTCTCCATTACACTGTCAACTGCATCACAGCCCGTCGTGAATGATGTCACCGCCTCGCGAAATAAAAATGGCAAATGCATTGAAAGCTCTAATCTTCCATGTGGCATGATTTCAGTCTTGTGTGGTTTAGCCCAGAGTTCCCATTCGCATTGCACCAAAGGCTTCATCTAGCTGGAATAGAGAGAGACAGTCTTTCTAGGCAAGGTTAGAGATCCACATATTCAGCCTAGAATACACAGGCCTAGGAGGGGTTGAGGGCGACAGCAAATACATTTATGTAAATATTCAGCTACTGACCGTGGTTTCAAAAGGGCATTAAAGACTCTCGTTTTCCGTTTTATGAGGAATGGGACTTTATGTTTCTGAGTACTTTTAGTGTAGCCAAGAATCATTGCTCTTAAGAAAGCTACTTTGGCTGTTATATCAATAATGGCAGGCACGCAGTTGAGAAAGAGGGACATGGAAAACTTCTGTGACAACCCCTACCCCTACATCCCACCCAAAAAAAAAAAAAAAAAAAGAAAGTAACCATCTAGACAGGAAGCCATAGAAGAGAACTCTTAAAAAGGATGCTGACGTGTAGCTCTCCACAATTGATGGCTTCTGGGGTGGGTGCGGAAGAGGAGGGACTCAGTTCTACTTTAAGGGCAGGCCCCCGAGAGTTTGGCCATGTTCCAGTGAGTATGTAGATACACAAATTGGACTTGGGTTCTTTGTTGTTTTGTTGTTGTTTCTTCTTTTGTTGGGGATGGTCACAAGGCCAGGGGCAGACATGGAAAGGCTGGGGAATGAGTGTGATTGGGGTGTATGATGTGAAATTCCCAAAGAATCAATAAAAATGTTACATGGAAAAAAGTAGAAAACACTATTCTTTTAATATATCAGCTCCACATAAATGAGAAAGTGGGTGTTACAAGAGAGAATGTGACCTCTTCCAGCTGCTCAGTCATATCACATTCCTCACATGGTGGGAAGAAAGCTAAAATCCAAAGTAATGCCTGCTTTTATTGACATCTTCCATGTCATGATTTACCTAGCTTTCTGACTTAAAAAAAAAAATGGAGCTGGAGATTTATAGCTAAATGGGTAAAGTGCCTGCCATACAAGTGTAAGAAATGAATTCGGACACCAGAACCCATCTTAAAAAAGTCGGGGTGGGGGGCAGGGCTGGAGAGACGGCTCAAAGTTTAAGAGCACTTTCTGCTCTTGCAGAGGACCCAGGTTTGGTTCCTAGCACCCACATGGCAGCTTACAACCAGTTGTCACTGTAGTTCCAGGGACCCCAAAATGCTCTTCTGGCCTCTGCAGGCACCAGGCATGCACATAGTATACACACATACATACAGGCAAACTCTGATACACATAAAAATAAATTCTTTTTAAAAATCCAGTGTGGCAATGTGTGCTTGTGATTCCATTGCTGGGGAGGTGGAGACTGGGATTGTTGTTTACTGGCCAGCCAGACTGGCCTAATCAATGAGCTCCATGCCAATGAGAGACCCTGTCTGAAAAGTCAAGGCAGAGGGCTCCTGAGGAATAACATCCGAGGTTACCTTGTAGCCACCACATTGCACATATGGACACATAAACTCAAACACACCCAGAAGGACACACACATGACACCAAAACAAACAAACAAACAAACAAAAACATTAGAAATGCTTAGAAAATTAAGTCCTGTCATTTGTCTCTGAAAGTATCAGCTCATCATTAAGCATCATTTTAACTGTGTCTGTGAGTAATAAAACATGTGTTCAAGGGATGAAGAGATGGTTCAGCAATTCAAAGCACTTGTTGCTCTTGTAGAGGACCCACGTCTGGTTCCCAGCACCCAGCTGGTAGCTCACAGCCATCTGTAATGCCAGTGTGAAGGGATGTGGTGCTCTCTTCTGACCTCTGGGCACTAGGCCCACACATGATGCACAGACACACATGCAGGCAAGATGTTCATATCATAAACCTAAAGAACTTTCTAAGGTACATTCAAAAGTTAATACTTATTTAACATACAGAAATGGTATATGGTGTCCTGAGACAGCCTGCTTAGTTGGAATCCAAGTTCTGCTTACGATGGGTGTTCTTAACTAGGTGTTCCTAATACCTCCATATTTCTCACCTAGCAATGACATGCACTGTCAAGAGAGTCATATTTTCAGCGTTGTTTTTCCTTCTCCACAATGCTCTTCACACTTCCCCCAGCTTCCACCAGTAATAAATAGGTTCCAAAGTCTCTCCTATATATTTAGGTATTTGTGATAGAAATACTTCCTTGTTAGCACTAAAACCATACTTTTTAATTATTTTATATGCTAATTACTATAAAATTAGCAGCTAGAGGTAGAACACCCTGTGGTTTCTATGGGTCAGGAGTGTGTGTGTGTGTGTGTGTGTGTGTGTGTGTGTGTGTGTGTGTGTTGTTTTTGTTTGTCTCATTTAATGTCACTGCAGCCAGGGTGTCTGCTGTGTCTTGGAGTCTTATTCATTTGGGGAATTCTGTACTTCCAAACTCTCTGAAGAAGGATATACTTATAATTCTTCTACTCACTCTTGGTTGTTTTCATGGTATAGGGCTCTTCTTTGCTTCCTCAAAGCTGTGAACCAGGAAGAAACTCTAGCAGGTGTGTTTTAGTGATTCAGTGTCATTAGGGATGAGTCTGTTACAGCACTGTCTTGCACGATGCAGCCCAACCAAGGCTGTGGCTTCCCACTGTCATGGCAGCTTCTAATTAAGATACAAGGCATGGCCCCTGCTCACAGTCTCTGCAAATTTTAATTTTTGATTCAGTGACTCATTAGCCACTACTAAGCATTCCCTGATCCAATAGTTTCAAAGCTAGGTTTCACTAATGTATAAAACAGGCTTATCCACATGAAAGACTTAAGTAACCTTGAAGGGGTTAATATCACTACAGTGCTATGAAAATGACCTCAGACACACTTTCATAGACTAAAACAATTCCATTTCTGAGAGTGGTTTGCCTCACTGAGGAGTGTGCTTCTCTGTGCTCTCAGATTCAACTCCAGGGTGGCAAGTAAACCAGAATGTACAGTTCTTTTGAATAAGCAGGGAAAATCTTGCAAAGACAAGAACAGTGTGGCATGTGTAGCAGGGTGACACATGTTTTTACAGTGACAGATGTCTACAAAAACCCTAGCTGTTGTCTTAACAGCTCTTAAAAACCCTATGTATTTTCTCTAGACACACTGAGTGAATTGCTAGATGCAATGAAAAATCCTTCAAGTAAAATACTCCTGCTTCCACAGTGGCTCAGGGTCTAAGAGCACTAATTGCTCTTCTAAAGGACCTGGGTTCACTGGAAGCTCACAACAGTCTTTAACTCCAGTTCCAGAGGATCCAATACCTTCTTCTGGCCCCCATGGACACTGCACACACATGATACACTTGAATACACTCAGGCAAAAAAAAAAAACAATACATATAAAATAAAAGTAAATCTTTAAAAAAAATACTGCTTCCCATCCATGGTTCATCCTGGGTACCTGGCTATGTGGAGAAATCTTGATCCCTCCTTGCACTGGGATGAACAGACAGGACCCCAGAGATGCTGAGATAGCCTGCTACAGGGAGAGGAATGGGGACACCACAGCTGCTTTGGGCATCACAGGTCCTTTCACGTTCCCGTAAGAACTTACTCTTCCTTTCTCATCTGCATGCCTTTCAAATTTCAGAGCCCCTATGTCGTGTACTGAGGGTCACTGAGATCATGCACCCTTTGGCTCCTTTTTAAAATAATTATTGCAGTCCACTGCCTTTGTTATATATCAACTTCTCCCTAGCATTTCTATAGCTATGGTAAGTCAATGTCAAATGTAGCTGTATTTTTGAGTAACAAAAGAGAGTCTAGAACTTAAATCCAAAATTATTTCTAACTCACCAGGGTTATATATATATATATATATAATATACCTTCAATTATATGCTTTCTCACTACCTTTACCAATATAAGTGTTGACCTTGGTTTGGTGTAGAGATGACCTTGTACTTTAGTAGGTATTTATTTGGAAAGTAAAACTGGACTGTTCCATTTTTTAAAATATACTTTTATGACAAGTCATTGGTGTGCATAAAATTGTGATCTCAGAAATGACATTGGGTTTGACAGACAATATCTTATAGGAGCTCTGTGATTTAGCAGGAGTGATGAAAGAGCCGATGATCCTCCATGAGTGTGGTTATTGCACACGCATTTATGTACACACACACTCAGCCCCATAAACGGGGATGAGAGCAGAAGAAATCTATCCCTCATGGTTTCTTGTCCTTTTTCAGCCATCCTGCCATTGTTGCCTCGAGGATCCTTTAATGCCACAAAACTAACCACACAGACATTAGTCACCTTTCATCACTGTGACAAAAGACCTCAGATAAACGGTTGAAATGAAGACAAATTTTGGCTTTTGGTCTTAGCTAGTACATTGCCATGAAGCTGTGGTGAAAGAGGATATGACCTCAGCAGGGGCATTTGACAGATGGTATCACTTACCTCATGACAGACAGAAAACAAAAAGAGGCAAGAGGCCCAGGATAAGACATACCCTTGAGCGACATGACCCCAGCAGATTGTGTTTTTCAGTATCCCACAGTTTCCATAACCCCCAAGTCTCGTGAATTATAAACCCATCAACAGATTAATCCATTGATTAGGTCAAAGCCCTAATCACTTTTTAAAACTTGACCTGTAAAAAATAAAAATAAAAAAAAATAAAAAATAAAAAGCCGGGCGGTGGTGGCGCACGCCTTTAATCCCAGCACTCGGGAGGCAGAGCCAGGCGGATCTCTGTGAGTTCGAGG